AAATTGGACCGTTAGTTAGACTTGTTTTTAGATGGACCACCTATTTGCATCCATCTTTAAGATGGATGCTTTGTACCTATGGACCGCATATTGTAGATATACGGTCCAACCCACTTGAAACAATTTTCCTTCAAATAAACTTATTTAAAAAAGACATATTCCTTATTTTAATACTCTCATTTATTTGAAGGAAAATTGTTTCATGCGGGCTGGACTGCATTTCTACAATATGCAGTCCATAGGTATAAAGCATCCATCTTATAAATTGATGCAAATAGATGGTCCATATAAAAAAAATTGCAACTAACGGTCCAAATATTTTTTTAATATAATTATTATTTCTAATTTTCAATCTTTTTTTTTATATATATATACATGATCTCCATGTTAAAGATTATATATTCTCTAAAAATTAAGATCAAATTATAACTAAAAATATATTTATTGCCAAACCTGCATTTCTACAATATGCGGGCTGCCCGCATGCTAACCACGTCCTAAAAATATTGAGAAAGTTAAAATACTACATGAAAGGGAGTAGTCTTAACACTTTAGATGGTGGATAACCTATAATTCCATTATTACTGAAGTAGATATTTGGGTTATGTGGTCCCACTTTTGAAAATCCATATTAGAGATGGATAAATGATTTGAAATACATCTTGAGCATCTCAATCTGCATTTCCATTCTAGATCTGCTATTTTTCCGTTCAAAAAGCAGTGCATATCTATTAAACTACAAGGGATTCAAATGAGCAGTTCAAAAAACAAAGATCAAGATGCCCTATAATAAAAGTTCCAAATCCATTTTTTTCCAAATTCATAAATCATAATCACCGTGGTTGATCCTTCCGGCCTTTGAAATTTTAGGTCCAAATTTGAAGGAGACGACATTTAAATGCATTTGAATAGTTACAAGAGCGATTCACTAAAGAACCCCCATCAAATTAGTAAAGCAGAAAGTTCAAATGAGGTTTCATTAAAACGCCATCCCCTCGAAAGAAACCATCTCAGAGGTAGCTTTAGTATCTTAAGTGATAAATTTGCGGCTTAAAAAACAGTATAGATTATACATGCAAAGAATAAAAATAAGGAAAAAGTTTATATGAGGTTGCAACCTTATACTGTTGAAATAAGGTGCACCTCAAAAATCCTACAGAGGAGAGTGTTCCATCGTGGGAGAGCCCACCAAGTCACCATCTTGACATCGAGATGAATGGACATGAAGAAAACAACAGAATTTCAAGTCCAAAAAATAGTGCATCTTGTAACAAGTTATTTTGACCATCTATTTTCAATATTTTCAAGTGTTTCTTAACTTGCTCTATGTATGCAATTTTTGAAATTTTTAAAGGGTGCGTTTTTTATGAGGTTACAACCTTAAACAATCCAATTAAGGTGCATCTCCAAATTTTATCATGACATGTAATTATGGTAAACAAAAATTTAAGATTATCTCAAAATCTATTTTCATATATTATTATAATATTTTAAACTCCAAAAATAGTTGAAATCAAGTAGATCTATAAAATATGAAAATCTTGAAAATGGATGGTTTAGATAATGTATTGCAAGATGCACTATTTATGGGACTCAAAATCAATTTTTTTTTTTTTTTCATATTCATACATCTCGATGTCAAGATGATCAATTAGATGTTTTTTAACATTAAAACAACATTTTCTAATGGATTTTTTAGATGCATTTGTAATTCAACATTTTAAGGTTGTAACCTTATGTAAACTTTCTCCATTTTTAAATGGTATAATTGACGATGAAACTAAATTTTTAGCATCGTAACGTTTTGGACACTGAAATGACATATCCAAACAAATTTTATAAGCAAGCCTTATTTCTACAGTATAAGGAGGCAACCTTGTAGAGACCTCACCCAAAAAATACACAATCCAAAAGCAGAGTTTAAACTAGTAATTAATTTGTTGTATGTTTTCTAGATCCAAGATGGTGGCGGTTGAGTTTATAAAGCTGTAAAACTTTCGGTCCAAAATCCATATCTTAAATGAATTTTTATGAAGGATATTGCATTTGAATAGTATATATCAAAAGCCTGCCCATCAAGTAAATGGTAAAATTTTCATATATCAACATTCATGTGCTTCCCCTTCAAAAAAATCAACCCCACATATAGATTTTAGTTCTAAAATTTCATATGGCATAATCTAGACCACCATAATTATAAATCTAAAATAAAATGTCTTAAAATAAAATATTTAAAAATTAAACTAAACTAAAAAATGGTAAGAATGATCTATTTTAATGATCTATTTTAAAATTTAAACATAATTTTCAAATTCATAGTCATGGTGGTCTAGATCATTGACCTCTTAAAGATCCCAAACCATTTTTAAAAGGTGTGGTTTGCATAAGATGTCCAAAGGAAAGCACACCTCGAAATCCTTGATGAACGGTGCGTAATTTTGGTGTTTAAATTTTAAATGATGTCCCAATAATATTTTCACTGAAATTCAGAACTTTAAAAATGATGCAAATCTGAACAAATATGTAAAAACTTGAAAACCTTAAAAATGGATGGCTATAAAAGGGTGAAGTTTGTATGAGGTGTCAACCTCATACTATTGAAGTAAGGTGCACCTCAAAACTATGCTGGAAGCGTTGCAATGATATGAAAATCTATTATTGCCCACAATTATGAAATTTAAAGTTTCAGAAATGGCGACAATCAAGCAGATCTATAAACAGTTGAAAATCTTGAAAATAGATGGTCCAGATAATATGTTAGAAGATTGATTTATTTTTAGGTACTTAGAAATTTTTTTTTTTTTTTTTTTTTTCTATGAATCTCGAATTTGAGACGATCGTTTTGAGGATTTTCCAACATAGGAACAACCTTTCTCTAATGGCTTTTTTAGGTGTACCGTATAAGGTTGACACCTTATATAAACTTATTCCATTCTAAAAATGTGCAGGTTGTCTCTAAACAATCAAAGTAGAGCCCACCTTCAAATAATGTCGAGAAATATAATTTTAATATTGAAAATCTATGCGATAGCATTAAAATACATTTTTATTTTTAATTATAAAATTTTAAGATTAAAAAATAATATAGATTAAGTAGATCTATGAAAACTTAAAAATCTTGAAATTGACGGTCCAAAAATGTGTTACGAGATGCACTATTTTCAAAACTTCAAATCCATTTTTTTCTCATGTTTATTCATCTTGATGCCGAGAGGATCAATTTGAAGATATTTGGGCATCAAAACATCTTCTTGTGAAATTTTAGAGGTGGGCTCAATTTAAGGATATTAGAGGATATTTGGGCATCAAAACAACCTCGCTCTATATAAATTTTTTCCTTCTAAAAAACCAGACCACTTTTATAAATTAGAAAATTCATTTTTTTTCCTATATCCATACGTCTCGATGTTGAGAAAATCAATTGGGGATTTTTTAGTATCCGAACAACTTTTTTTCTTTTGGCGTACATCATATCTTATATAAACTTTTTTGTTTTTTTGATGAAGTTTCTATAATGTCTAGGCTTTATGCAAGCAAAATAAAGCCTTAGCTAAAATCTTTTTCTGGAAAGCACTTTTGGCAATGAAAATCAATAAGTTTTGAAACTTAAAAAATGAATAGATCTTGTGGATCTATGAACACTTATTTTTTGTATTAAATAGACGGTCTAGATAATTTGATATAATATGCATGATTTTTAAAACTTAAAATCCTATTTTTTTATACAACCATAATGTTCAAGCCTAGATGATCAATGAAAAGGTTTTCGAATGCTTGAATTTCAATTTTCGATGAGTTAAGAGCTGAGGCTTTACTTACTTTTATAGGGCCGCAGGCCTGTTTGGCGGGGAAGTTTGGAAGGGGGGCCGCACTTGAATAGTTTGCATCGGTCGACCCACCAAAATTGTCCGTCCGGTCCACCAGTTAGCGGTGGCGCTTTGCCCTTTCGTGGTTCAGGACTCAGGATCGATCACACGGATTCCGATTCTCAGAGAGTTTGAAGCGGCGGTGGAGCAGAGTCAGTACGCTACTACTCCTACACAAGAACACTCTTCTTCTTCTTCCTCCTCATTAAGATTGCATTCGATTTATATTTTGATATCGGAATCCCATTTATATTCTGTTTCATCTGAGAAACTAGAGCTCTCTTCAACACAGTATCAAGTAACTGAGTCAAGAAAGAAATAGTGAGTCTTTTGTGCCCCTGAATCCAGAAGGGAAACAAAATGGTGCAGCAGAAGAGCATACGCACGTATGCCTATCTGTTTATCTACATTGCCCTATCCAGTGGCCAGATCTTCTTCAACAAGGTACTTGCCTACATTCTTAATTACTCTCTTTCTTTCTTTCCTTATTATTAATTTCTTCCTTTATTGTTATCATCATTTTTGTTATTTCCTATCCCTCTCTGAAAGTAATTGCTTACCTTTGATTTTGGCACTAATGGAGGAGGGCTTAAAACCTCAAGATTTCAGTTGAAGTTTCTTATGTAGCTATCCTTCATTAGTTTCTGCCCTTATAATTTTTGCTTCGTCTTTGCCGCTGCACTGCTTCTTTTCGCCTGATCTTCATTAGAAGAGTACTATACTTGAAGATCCGAGAACCAGCTCAGATCTCAATCCATTTGACATCACGGGTCAGATTTTGTGAAATGTGAGATTCCCATAAAAATGTGGGACGAGCTACTCGAAAGCTGCAATATGTTCTATAATGCAGCAACCACACGTTCTTGTTATTATTTTGTTGTTGTCGTTAACTTGTGCTAAAATTGGATTAGAATATAACTTAATGGATACTTGATCCGTGAATCGCTTACCTGAGTGTTGTATTTGTGCAATTATAGGACTCTGAGTTTGATAGATAAACTGGAGAGAGTTTCTCTTTGTTCTAACGAATTTAAGACTTAAAAGAATGATGACACTCTTCCCTAGTTACCACGTTCTGTATTTGTCTTTGGTCACCACATCTTTCATGTCTCCAGTTTGTCAGATAGATGGATGCAAGATCTAGGACATCCAATTCACTTCATTATTATGATCACTTCTTATTTGGAGAAGTTTTTCTTGCAATCAGAATGAATCCCTAAATGTTCATGGTTCATAGTTGGTTTTGCTTGTAGCACCTGGAAAGATCACCCCAATGTTTTAAGTGGTGGTCACGAATTGCTTAGGTTGTTCATATGTCACCTGAAGGGGCTAGCTGGATATAATTAGCATGGTCTTAAATATTTACAATCTGATTAGCCTTCATCTTATGTTCATAGATCTTGGGTCTATTCCAATTCCTTTTGATGAAAGGGTTGGGTTGCGCTAGAGCTTGATCTATTCTTTCCATCTTTATGCCATCTCCAAGATGAGGTAGAATTATTTCAATTATAGTACGATGGCCTAACTTTGACCATGATTTGGTGCTGAAGAAACCTGAATTAGATAAAATCCATAGACATATGGATCACAAATCTCAATAATAAAAAAAGGGGGTCATAGATATTGGAGAGATCTTTGAATTGAGCTTTACACCACCGAAACCTGACACCTAAGCAGCACAAGCTACGCGCATTGGGACCTTACTATATCAGAGGGATGGAGTGCCCCCTCCCTCCCATCTGTTCATCTATGCTCCTTGATGTGAATGTAGTTACTGTGATATTTTGGACCATCTTTGCTGAAGAGAATCACAACGTCCCAAGGCATATTTTGTGCTGGGAGTTGGAGGAGAAAATGGTGCAGGTGGGATTTAGGATTTCTTCCTCAAACTTAACTGAAGATGATGCCTGGGTTTATGATAAAGCTCATGTCTGGTAGAGAAATTTCAAGTTTCCTGAGTGAGGCTCTGCAGAACTAATAGAAAATTTGCCATCTAGATATTTATTAGGGTGCTTGGATGGAGAGAAAAGAAAAGTTCTTATAGGGTTGCTATATAGATGGTTTGAACATTGGAATTGCAGTGGGGATGTGGTAATGCTTTGGGTTCTTACTCGTGGAGAGTTCTTTGGCCGTAGACTAGAGAGCGTAGTTTGTAAATGAATGATTAAACTTCATTACAAGTCATGGGGGAAAAGCCACTTGAGAGTTCTCGATTAACATAATCTCAGTGGTATCAAAAAAGTAAACGGCTGTCTAGGTGAGGGACTTTTTTATAGATTTCTTTTTGGAGGTCCTCAAGACCCTTGCCAAGCTTATTGGTAGCTACAGATTCTTTTTATTTGAACAATATCCATTGGAAAATGAACCAGTTTATCTGATTGTTCCTAAAAAGGAGGAACAAACAAAGGTATATATGCCTCGATTTGCAGGAGAGAGAGTGAAAGAGAGAAGAGGGGGGAATGAGAGAGGGCGAGAGAGTATAATAGGTAGGGTCAAGGTGGGGATAAAAGAAAAGGAGAATGTGGGGGGTGTGGGGGGCACCCGGCCAGGGGAGGTCTTGGCCATATCATTAGCCTCCCTGGATGCATGTCTGAATTCTCTTGCTTGGGAAAAGTTAGTGGAACTCTATTGATTGAGGTTTTCTTTTCTCCCCCTTGACCTCATACTCTTTTTTATTTTATTTTGCAAAATGTAAATATATAGGTTACAAATTTACATTCCATACATACATTTGTATGCACATATATGCATAAATATATACACCTGCACGCATACGCGCATACAGCATACATACGACACACACACACATGCATATAAGCTTGTACTGCAGCTTAAGCCACTTTGAAAAGTAAGGGTCTTTGCAGGGGTCTTTATAGTATGGGGTGTGTATGTGTTGGTCTTTGCGGGGTCTCTGCATATCTTTGCAGTACGATGTTCCATTCTTCTTTGCAGAAACAGCTTTAAACCAAGAACTGTACCAAAACCAGTTGAAGGAATAACTCTTTGAGCTTTCCAATCATCCAATGTTTGCCAGATGAAACTATCTGATTTCATATCATCTCTCCAAAATTGGTTTTAGGGCTTCTTGTCCATGAATACAATTTTTGTATATGATGCCTCTATATTGTATGAAAGTTGAGAACAAAGTGAAATGTTGATAAAGGAATACGATGATGCTTTATTTCCTCCAGAAAAGGGATGGCAATTGCTTCTATTCTGCACATGAAACTCTATATACTTCAGTTTTAAGGTCTAATTTCTCCAATGGTGTTTCGCTGTTTTTCTTTAGTTTGATATTCAATGCCCGATGTTCTCTTTTTATGATTTCTTTTTTTACTTAATTCCTCAACCAATCACTGATCTTTTCTTCTCTCTCTACAGTGGATTTTATCGTCGAAGCAAATCAACTTCCCGTACCCTCTCGGGTTAACTCTTCTGCACATGCTCTTCTCCTCTGTGTTATGTTTCATTGTGATTAAAGTTTTGAAGGTGTGTCAGAGCTGTTTATCTTCATTGATTTGCATTTCTTAGAAGTAAATAGCTTCGCATTCTTTACAAGGAAATAGCTTCTTGCATGTTGTTTAGAAGCCTTTTTGGAATATTTTGCTATGGATTTTCTTGAACAAGTTATCTATAGTAGTTTATTCTCTAACGGGCGGGAATTAATGTTCATGGCTGTTGTTTCATTGCAGCTTGTGAAAATTGAGGATGGAATGACTCCAGAAATGTGAGCTTGGAAAAAACTTAAATTTTTAGTTTATTTTAAGTTATTTGCTATATGTATGATATGCTTTATTCACCTCTTCCAGCAATAATTGGCCATAATGAGTGAGAATTCCTCCTTTGAGTTTGGAAGATATTGGATATATGAAATCTATTTAGTGGCATATATTACCTTCTTCTCATGCCTGGCCTTTGTTGCAATTTCTTCTTAATGAATCATTTGGTACGGATTTGAAGCTTCTTGTTAAATTGCTTATAATCTGTTTTGAGAAATATACTGCATTTATTCTGTTCAATGTTTTGCAAATCACAGAAGCCATAATCTGGTACAACTCAACAATGATGAGTGAATTAAATCTTCATAATTTGCTTTATCTACTACATTGTCCCAATTATGATGTGATCACTGTCTGCTGACTATAGATTGAGTTGATTCTGCCATGCCAATATTCGTAGGATACTTTTCGGACCTGGTTACTGGATTCTGTCTACGCTTCAAATCCTTAGAAACAATTTTCTGGGGAAATCATGTTATTTCAAATGATATTTCTGGTGTGTTCTGTCTCATGAACTTTTTGAGTTCTGAATGCTGAGCATCTCTTTTATTTCCATGGTTGATCTGGCAATTTCAAATCATATTCTTTTACATATGATAATAGGAAAAAGTTGCCCTCTTTGTGGTGCTCATTGTGCTAGGCTTCTTCCCTTCATGGCTGGTTCTATACCTAGAATCCTGAGTTCCAATGCTTGCTAAATGTGATATCAATGTAAAACAGTCAAAATTATCTTATTATTGTGCTAAATGTGATATCAAATGGTGATTGATATAATTGGTTCTTATTCATTTTTCATAATTTGGTTGGGTTCAATGGCGATGCTGGCCTTCGATACTCAGTTATGTTATCTCAACAGAGTGTCAACTAGGTTTACTTGCCTGAGCTGACTCAGTTCTTGACTCAATTAATTTAAAGGAGTTGTTGGAACCTGATTTTCCATTAAGCATTTTATTTGACTTCTATGAAAATGTCTTGTACTGGTCCACATATAATGTAATCTACTGTAGGGTATCACGTTAGGGGCAATATCTAACCAACAAATGTGTAACCTGCTGTATGTTTTGTGAAAGTCCCTTTAAGATGTGTCATGATTCTGGCAATGGTGCACAAATGTCTCATCCAGAGAGTCGGAACTAGTTTTCTACTTGATATGAGTGACGTAGGCTTCTACTATCTCATCATGGTGAAAGATACTAGATTTTTAACTGAAGATAGTAATGTGCAGGACTTGAGAGTGGCATCCTTATCATCAGCATCATCATTATCCAAGCCTTATCCGAAGTATTCTACTTGAATCCTGTTTTGCTATTCCGCTCTATCAAGGGCCACACCCTTAGTTAGACCATAGGTTACCACGTCGCTTCACTATTTCCATCTATGTTCTTTTGGGGCTTCCCTTTTCCCATTTAGAACCTTCCATTTGAACCAAATTGGCCTTCTTAACTGGTGCTGTTATGGGAGATGGCATCCTTATAAGTATCCCAAAAAAAAAAGTGATGGCATCCTCATCCTTTGCAAAAAACCTGAGCATTGGGTGTCACCATTGTTTCATTGTGTATTTTCCCTGTTATGGAAATTGCTGTTTCATGCCTATTTATGTAGATAATGTTAACACAGCCTCTATAGCACTTCTAGTTCAAAGTCTAATGATACTACAAACTACTAGGAATTAGATTAGCGTTCTTTAATGGAAACCTTGGGCTGAGATGATTTCTCTCTCTCACACAGAAGTTATGACTCATTCGTGGCTACCTTTTTTTTTTTTTTTCATTTCACGAATCAATACATGCTGACACCACATTAGTTTAAAGGGTGAGTTATGGAGTTGTCAAAGTTTGTGCATAGTTAAGTTTGCATGGTATTGTATTATTTATTCTCTGTGGGCACCTATAGCACAGTCCGGCATGATGTTTTAAGCAAGGACTCATGTCAAGACTCACTAGGGTTTTGAGCTTGAGTTGGGCAACTTGACTTGGCCGAGTCCTAAAAAAGTTTACATGAAAAGTATGGGAACCCAAGAGACTCGTCTGATTCCCATGGCGTTGTTTCCAGACTCGGCAGCCAGTGAGTTCACGTAACTCGGGTGAGTCTGAGACGGATTAGCCGAGTTCTTGACCTTCTCCTGCTGGAGCAAATTGTACGGTTGCTCCCTATGCAAAAGGCCTAAAAGGATTTTCTTGATTTCGAAATTTTGGGATCATTTTAGAATCACTAATGAGTATTATTATTAGTTGTTGTTTTTTTGTTTTTTTTTTTTTTGGGGGGGGGGGGACTTTGAGTTTCTCAACATTTAAATCCAATAGTCCAAAATTTCGATGGTCTATGTTCAATCTTAGGACGTTATTTTTTCAGGCACATATAAAGTGCATATGGTATTTTTCCTTTTCTGAGGGTTTTCGTTAGGATCAGGAGGTTACATCCCCAAAGAGGTTACATCCCCAAAATTTCAGGTCCTAAAATATTCCTTTATAGGTTTTTCCCGAGGTAGTGAATGTAGGGAACGCTCCAGAGGAGCATATAAATTTTTAGCATCCTTTATTGTCTAGAGTACTTCAGTCAACATTCTTGCACAGACATATATCTGCTCAAGGTTCGTTTTTGGATGGGTTGAACCCAAGGATTCTCTCCTGTGAAAGTTTCACTTTCTTCCTAAAAGTTGTACATGATCTGTTTCTTGAGATTTATTATGTTTTCCAGTTTCCCTTTTGATGATCTTCTCTTCGAATATAAGTTCAGTTTGCTTGTAGCCTTGTACTCTTTTCACAGTATGGGTAAAGACTGAAAAAGCCCATTGTAATATAGTACAATGATGCTCCATTTTTACCCATGCACACTATATTTTCCTAGGAAGGCCCAGTTTTGGGATGCATACTTTGCTATTTTTGAGCTTTCTCGAAGTATTGCAAATCATGGTTAGCATTTCTCTCAATCCTAAGTTTAATGTATATTAGTAACTACCCAAAAATAATAATAATAATAATAATAATGTTGATTGGGACACTTTTGAAATTTTCTTAACACTAAAAAAAAAAATCATTTCTTGATTATTCTAGGGAAAAGTTTAAGTCTTTTGTGTTATATATGTTCCTCCAGTAGAACACAGTCCTCTATTAATTGTACACACCATAAAAGCTTGAGCTGCTCAAAATATTTTCCTTGAGGCCATCAGATTTTCCTTTTTCAGTGTTTTTGGTTTGAAATAATTGGTATTGCTCGGATTTCTTGGCAACATTTTTCCAAACTTTTGTTGGTTTTATGACAAGTTTCTTCTAATTGTTGCTGGGTTGGCATTGGAAAGTTGGCCAAAATTTCCTCAACTGCATCAGATAGAAGCTGTTCTTACCTGGTGAACGAGTTAGAAATTTGCAATGACTTTTGAGTTTCCCGTGCTTGGTTGCACCTCGCTAGGTGCGCTACGATTGTTCTAATTTGTTAGCTTTTTCTCCTGGTAGTCTCACCATGAGTCAGGCCTTTCTAAGAGTTTAAAGCTAGAAAAAAGATAGTATGATTTAAATAATCATCACATTACCAAGTCGTCTCATTACTTTCAACACAAAACCCATCCCATTCCCCCCTTGCCCCACCAAAAAAAAAATACACACTCACACACAAAAAACAGGAATTTTTTTTTTTCAAATTTCATTTTACCATGAGCCTTTAAATGGTATACAGAACGAATGACTGTGTTGATTCAAATTAAGAATTCCTTCAGAAATCCAAACAGATATTCTTAGATTATCACGCTTAATGGATGCTTGGTCATGAGCGGTGGCCTCACTACAAGAAGAGTCTTGTAGCCTAATCTGCCCTATTTAACTAGCAAAAAGTTCTTTCCCCATTTTTGTTTCTGGTACAATAACGAACTGTCAGAAAAAGTGCACAGATCCCATCACCTGTGCTTAGTTATGTTTTGTTAGTCTTTCACAAACTGGTGGTGTATTCTGGTGATTGTTGAATTGAATGAGACATTTCCTCTTGAAATATTGGCTTTTTAAATGGTTTTGGAGCAGTTGTAATTTCTTGAGATCAATTTGATTGTATTTGGACAATGAAATGAGATCAACCTGTTGATATTAATGTTTGCTTAGTCTTGGATTTCAGATACACCACATCAGTCTTTCCCATTGGGGCAATGTTTGCAATGACTCTATGGCTGGGGAACACAGCCTATTTGTACATATCTGTTGCATTTGCACAAATGCTGAAAGCCATTAGTACGTACTTCACTGTGGCAGATGCCAACTACTACAGCTAGTTGATTTCGTTACTTTGCTTAACCTTTTCTCCACTCTCACCACTTTAAGGTCTTAGTTTTTCTTTTTATGTGATATGCAGTGCCAGTAGCAGTTTTCTTATTAGGAGCAGCAGCTGGTCTTGAAACCCTGAGCTGCAAAATGTTCACCATAATGTCAGTAATCAGCGGAGGAGTCATAGTGGCTTCGTATGGGGAGATAAATATCAACTGGGCGGGTGTGATTTACCAAATGGGTGGTGTCATCGGAGAAGCCCTGAGGCTCATATTCATGGAGATATTAGTGAAACGGAAGGGGCTCAAGTTAAACCCTATATCTCTAATGTATTATGTAAGTCCTTGCAGGTATAAGGAAGACACACCTTCTCTGTCTGTCAGTCCTGTAATATCTTTGGTCATCTGTTCAAGTAGCTTTTTTAATCTATTGGCAGTTTTCTGTGCCTGTTGATCCCCTGGATTTTTCTGGAGAAGCCTAAAATGGACGCTGCTGGAACCTGGAGCTTTCATCCAATTATACTGTCACTTAACTCCCTCTGTACATTTGCACTCAACATCTCGGTGTTCTTGGTCATCACTCATACGAGTGCCCTCACCATTCGTGTGGCTGGTGTTGTCAAGGATTGGGTGGTCGTTTTACTCTCTGCCCTTCTGTTTGCTGACACCAAGCTGACAGTCATAAACCTATTAGGTTATGGCATTGGTATGTTCTGCCCCTCAAACAATTGTATATGTCTCAGTGTTTAAGAAAGCTCAGGCTGGGACTTGCCAGGGTCCAGAGCCTGAATCACTTGGTCCTCTTGGACGATTCCCAAGTCGACTGAGTATTTCTTAAACAAAGAAAATCAGATTAAAAAATTGCCGACTCAGGGTGAGTCTGCAGGTTTCACCTCGAAAGTTGCCAGTCCACCAATCTTAGCCAACTTGGGTGAGCCTCAACCTCAGCGGGCAATTTTTTAATCACTGTTCTATCGGATAAATCTGCATGTGTTGCTCCCATGTCGTAATTTTCACGTAGACTGTCATAAATGGAGGATCACGGCTGACAAAACCACAACTTTCACATGTATATGAATCTGTCCCGTTCATAAGAATTTTTGTTGGGTAAGTGTCCCATTCAGAATAATTGTTTAAGTAGTAATACATTATTGATATCTATCTATGTTCATTTGTTTGGATCTTCAGCAATAGCTGGAGTAGCAGCATATAATAATTACAAGCTGAAAAGAGAAGCTTCGAGAGGGAATGAAACTTTGCCTGTGGACGATAGCATAGATAAAGGTCTTGGAGGAACTCATACACATCAGCTACCACGGCCTCGGAGAGTAGATAGCTGGAATGTTGATGAAATATGACAAATTCTATGGTAAGTGTGAGTTGAGGTGCCAATGCTATTCACATCGGGTTCTCTTGTTTACTAATGGCTGATGCTTGTCACGGCAGCCACCTATGATCAACCATGGTTACAAGAATACTGTACCTCTATAAAGCAATGAAGGTCGTCGATTTTGTCCATGCACGTTCTTTTGTTTTCCTTGTCTTTCATGTCAAAATATCTGTCATTCTGCAGGCTGAGGTGCTTTCTGTGAAGGGAAGGAAGAATTGCTTCATGCAAAAGCTTTTTGCCTTTTAAGAGAGAGAATACATTGGATTGGTTCCCTGCTGAGGATTATGAGAGCATGGACACAACCATTGGATGAAATTTTACTTCTTGTTGTGATGTGAATTAGATTCTGAAGCTGTTGTTCCATGGGAAGTTGATTCAAGGTTGATACATGTGTCGAAAGAGCTTGATTTGCAGTGACTTAAATTTTTTTTCTGGTTTTAACCCATAGCCATAAAGATCAACTGTTTTGTATGTTGTAATTTGGATCAGCGAAGTTGATTGGCACAATGAAATAGAGAACTTTACTGGAAGCTGCAGCTTCCTGTACTTCACGTGTTTATCAAACAGGAAGTGCTTCCAAAGTTGTGACTTCCTGCAGCCAAAATAACGTAAAAAATCATTGAAATATTGAAGCTGAAACTTCTATGCCATCCTCCTGGAGTCGGTGGAAGAAGGGGTTTCGGGCTAATCACCTCGTTCACATATCATTTAGGGGACAGCCTATAATAGGATCCACGGGGTCATATGATAAAATGACCTATTTTGTTATCATTGCCCTGTCAATGGTTTGGGTGGTGATGTGGGAGTGGGAGAACGAATATCATCAGTTTATCTGCATGTCCCTTCTGTAGTCCCCCAGCTCCACCAGTGTCCAACCCATCTGATTGCGCACAATGGCCATCTGCGTGATCTATCATGACCGTGCGGATCATACAATAATTTTCCTTTTGGAAAGCATTATACAATTCTTGAAACTCTTGTACCTTTTATTTAGGGTAGTCCGATATTTGCGAGTTGGCCAAGATGCGTTCGATATTTGGTATCGTGCCAAAGGACTAGTGCGACATAAGGGCCTCAAACATGGAGGTCACAGCTCACAATCGGTTCCATTAGATGTCAAATCGGATGGCTTTTGGGGCGGGGGGTTGAAATTTAAGGGGATAAGAATGACAGTGACTTCCATGTATAAAAGGTAAATGGTTTTTTTGTAGACAATCTTTCATGTTATTACATGAAAAATTAAACATTGCGGTAATATCTTTCCAAAAGCAAAATTAATCGATTTAAATTTGAAAAGAAAATGCTGATATGAAAATCAAGAGCCATTTGCAAGGAATTGATATGAAAATTAGCAATTGAAGCTATTTTCCTACTTAAACAACTAATTGAGAAGTTTAGGGCAAAAAGAAAATACCTCGACATGGTTTTTATCGATCTAGAGGAAGCTTATAATAGAGTACTTTAAGACTTAATGTGATGGTTGTTTGGAAAATAAAAGAGTATGCAAATACTATATCGACTTGGTGAGAGATATGTACGAGGGAGTGCTGACTAGTATACAAATAATTATTTGAGAGATAAATGAGTTTTTAGTGACAATAGATCTACATCAGGGATTAACATTTACACATCTTTGTCTTAGATATAGACGACTTAACTAGGCACCTACAAGATGAAGTACTGCGGCGTTATGTTATTTCTAGACAGCACAGTTTTGATCGAGGAGACCCGCAGTTATAACTTTGAACGGATGCTCTAGAATCTAAAAGTTTCAAAATTAGCTGGATTAAAATAAAGTATGTAGAATGCAACTGTAGTAATAATAGGAGTAGAGACGAAGAAGCAGTTAAAATTTGACGATCTAGAAATACAAAAAAAAACATAATTTTGATATGAAAATTGTGATATTGACAAATGCGACACATGTAGAATTATAGTTGGATAGGCGAAGTGGAGATGTGCAACCAAAGTTTTATGCGATTATCACATATTCCAATAAAACTGAAAGGGAAGTTCAATTACTGCATATACCAATAAAGCTCAAAGGGAAGTTCTATAGGACAGTTGTGAGACCAACTTTGCTTTTATGGGGCAAAATGTTGGGCAGTTAATAAATAAAATACCCATAGTATGAGTGTAACTTAGATAAAGATGTTGAAATGAATGAATGGCAAGACAAGAAGGGATAGAATTCAAAATAATTACATTTGAGAGAAACTTAAGTATGACTCCAATATGCGATATGATGAGAGAAAGTAAAATTAGATGGGCTTGTCATGTGCAGTGCAAACCCAGTACAATATCTGTTAGGAGGTGTGAGTTGGTTTAAGTGAAATAATAAAAAATGGCAAGGGTGTGCCCAAAAAGGACATGGTTAGAAGAAGTGAGAAAGATATGTGGGGGTATGACTTTTTGTAGACATGATGATGGACTAAGATTCGTGTAGCCGATCTTAAATAGTTGAAAAAAAGATCAGGTGATGTTGATTGTCCCAACATAAAATATAGAAAGGGGAATAATTTTTTAGAGACTTTTACTGCCAACTTTGTCATTTAAAAAGTTATAAGATAATTACTTTTTTTAGTTATTTATAATTTGGACAACAATAATAGTGGGGAAAAATTTATATAAGTGTCAATCTTTTACTGTAGAAGTAAGGTGCACCTCAAAAGCATTTCAAAGTCAAAGATGTTACAATTGATCATTTCGACCTCGAGATATACGGAGAAAAAAAAAAGATTTCATAATTTAGAATAATATATTTCATAACATATTGTGTAAGCCATCAATTTTGAAAATTTTTAAATATAGATGTGTTGTTTTAGGACAACCCACAGCATGTTTGTAGCTTTAAATTTAATAGTTGGGTTTGAAAATAGATTTTTTAAGCCATTAGAAGACTGCTGCGGAATTCGCGTGGCCAAGGCATTGATGGTGATGAAGAAGATTTTCGGACACCAAAAAATGCGAGATTTTTACGCCTCATGAAAACCTTACCCATAATAGTTTGCGAAAAGAAGCAACAAAAGTAGGTCTTTCAAAGAAAAATAGTAGTAGTTCATATGCAGATGCTTGATTAAGATAGAGAGATTGTGGACATATTAATATGCATCGTATGGTAAAGTTAAGAATGTTGCATTTGTTGGGGCCGAAGAGCAGGAGGGACAGGGTGGAGATGGAGGCAGCCGACGTCCAATAATAAGAAGAACATTTTTACATTGCAGTGAGAGAGAAGGTTGCTTGTATCCTCCTCCTCCATGATATTTGAGGCAGCTTGTTATTGTTGTTGTTATGGATTGGATGAAGAAGAAGAGGGGGTCTTCTTCTTCTTCATTGTGGTTGGAAATTGATGGATGGCGGTCCTGCGGTATGACGGAGACTTGGAGTCCGAGATGGGGTGGGGGAAGGGCCTGGTGAGGAGGAAGATCGGGCCGTTAGGGCTTAGGAATTTAGGGAACAGCTGCTACCTTAACAGCGTCCTGCAATGCCTCACTTACACCCCTCCCCTCGCCCTCTTCTGCCTCAAGAAGCAGCATTCCTCTCTTTGTAAGTCCCCTATCTCCCTGAAACCCTACCCTTTTCCATCGCTATTTGATTTAATTTCATGTATACTTGTTCTTCCTACAAACAAAAATAAGAAAAATAACAAAAACACAAACTCTTTGTTGGGAAGGGAATCCCTGAATGTTATTATTGAGTTCTCAAGATCCATTTTATTGTGTTTTCTCTGGGAGGATTCGATTTGTTAAAATGTAGGGTATCCCACGAGGAGAAAATTGAAATTGATTTTTCCTTGCCCAAGTTTGCTTGGCTTTTTGGTCGGTTAATTACTTGTTGGACTGATTTTAGTGTGGGAAAAACAAAATAATATAAAATGCAGGCGACTCTGTGAATTTGAACCAGAAGCAAGACTGCGCATTCTGTATACTGGAGAAGTGGATTCATAAGTCGCTAACAGTAGAGCTAGCGATGGATGCCCCTTCAAAGATTCAGAGTTCTCTTCATATTTTCGCAAAGCCCTTCCAGAGCGGTCGGCAGGAGGATGCCCACGAGTTCCTGCGCTATGTGATTGATGCCTGTCAGAACACCTGCCTCAAGCTGTTGAGAGAGAAGAACAAGGCGGCAGAGAGGGGTGGGGAAGTGAAAGCCAACAGCACGATCGTTAAGGAGATATTTGGGGGTGTGTTGCAGAGTCAAGTGAAGTGCCTGTCTTGTAACATGGAGTCGAATACGTTGGACGACATTATGGATATCAGCCTCGATGTCTACCAGAGCACATCCTTGAAGGATGCGTTGCGTCGCTTCTTCCAGCCAGAAGTGTTGGATGGAAGCAACAAGTACAAGTGTGACAAGTGAGTGGCCTTCTGTTTTGTTTCGATATATTATCTTCTTCTCTTAAGTGAATATTTGCTTTTGCTACTTATTCTGTTCCCTGCAAGTGTCATGGACTTCTACATAGTGTCTTGTCACTTTCAGGCGTACTTGATTTTAGAGAAAAGATGGCAGTGGAATTTCTCTTTTCTTGGTGTTGTTTTGGGAGAATATCGTTCCTTGTGACGGAACCATTAATCATGGTTTCTGCATTTTTTGTTAAAGGATTTGATTCTATTCAATTCACCATTAAAAACAGAAGAAAAAGTCTATGGGACTAGTGACCTGCACACACACAAACACATGCATACATGCACAGGCACATGCATCTTCTGTCCCCTATTTGTGCTGATATTCATGATATGTTAAAAGGAAGTCATTGGTATTCACGCTTTCCTCCTCTGCAAGCTCTTGGAAACAAACATTAGTTTGATTGAAGGCTGCTGTTATATGAAGCTGTTTTGCCCTCCCATTTTGTTTATGGAGTCCCTCTCGTGATCCTATTTACACTGCATCACAATTATCATATTATTGCTGGTTATATTCAAATCTGTGGTTCTCTTGTAACAGCACATGAGCTGAACAGTTCTCTTTTGTATTGGTTAGATCTTTGCATATGTTACATGAGTGAAACAACTCCTGGTAATCCACGACCTTTTCTAAAATTATCTATATATTGAATTTGCTGGTCTTAGGTGTAAGAAGTTGACAGCAGCTAGGAAACAAATGTCTATTTTCCGAGCCCCATATGTCCTTGTGATCCAGCTCAAGGTATGGATCACGAAGAGGTTTGTTTGATAATTTTTAAAATTTTTACAGTTGACATGAGAAATTTGTATATCATTAGTTGTACCAGGTGTGTTTTACTGTCACGATTCTCTAAGCCAAGGTTTTGGTCCCCAGAGATTTGAGGGTATACACAGCGGGAAGATAGATCGAGCTATTGCATTTGAAGAATCTTTAGAGCTATCTGCTCACATGTGTAAAGCAGGCCAAGTACGTTCTTCCACCTTCTATGAATGTAATGTCTGGAGCTTTCTTGTTGTTTTCCTTGATTCTGTTGCTGTGCTTGTGCTGGTGTTATTTTAATGTTTGTCTCAGAACAGCATGTTACTGTTTTCAAGATCTTCTAGTTTAGTTGTCTGGTATTCTTTTTGCATGATTAACCTCTGGTGTTTCTGATTCCTTAAAATGAAGTTCAGAACAACTTACCATTTTAAGTGTGGACACCTTTATTCTTTACTATATATGTCGATTGGTAGCAGTCAAAGGAATTTTCAGATGTTGATTTCTGGGGTAATAAGATTAAGGAGTATTTACAAACCAGTGAGGGTGTTCACATGTTTAAATAAGGAATTTTCTTAAATCGCACCTAAGAATTGAACTATTTAACTTCTCCTGTTCTTTCGATCTAGTTTCAAATAGCCTGTCAAAGGACCCATCATCATTGGTCATAGATTGTTGGAAATTGTCGGATGGGTGAAATGTTAATGATTTGATGAATTTCTTATTTAAATGTCTTAGTTGAATATTAGCAATTATAATTGCATGTTTGATCTAAAGATTGGCACGCATTACGTATCTAGATCAAGTAACAGTTGGCTCGAGCTTGGGACCCTGGTGAGCCTGAGTGAACGAGCTCAAGTGGTGTACTAGACCAAAAAGGGCCTAAAAAGTTAATAAAATAGAGTTTTTTTTAAGAAGTAAAAGGAAAACAAAGCTATAAACACCACTAGAAGTCCAAAAGAGATGGAAACAATATATAGAAGATGGAATTTGGAAAAAAATTGATTTATAGTTGGAAATGAGAAATCCAAAAAAGAAGAAGAAAAACAAGCAAGAAAATATAGCATATGATAAGAAAAACTGAAAACATCATCAAATACATCAAAAACAGGGTTTGTACTTAAAATCTTGGTTCGACAAGGTGCGGAGTCCGAGTAATTGAGTCTTAGTCGATTCAGTTGAGTTTTAAAACCTTGATCTAGATTGATCTTGTCTGAAATCTTATGTTACCTATACAGTTAGATGAACTGTATTAGAATGTCAGATCTATTGAGAAATCATTTGTGCTTTACCCACACTGATGTGACAGACAAAAAATTGCATCTGATAAGTAATCCAGGTTGTTAGTTATTAAGAAAGGAATTCATTTATCCTTTGTAACTATTTCCTTAAAATTTTATATGTGAGTAAGAGTATCCCTTGTAACTATTTCCTTAAGATTTCATATGTGAGTAGGAGTGTATTCATTCTAATTTGAACATGGCAGACATCTTGGACTTCACTCTTGCAGAGGTTACCATGCCTTGCTAGGCCTAAGGATTTTGTGTGGCTTTCTTTGGATCTTAGAGATTAAGGATGATGCATCAATGGTTTCTAATGGTTGCGGTGACTTTGATTTCACTTTGTGCATGGTGCCCTCATAAGTTAGATCTTGTATGGTTGTCACTAACCTAGTATTTTGTGTGTTTGCCTCAATCTTAGATGGTGAGGCTAATCAACTTATTTATCGGTGAGTATGATTGGCTAGGGTATATATGTCTTGCATCCAGAGGGATGCTTGAAATGCAGGATGTAGACTGATTGCGGTCGGGGGCTTGACGTGGTGATGCGGCATCGATGGGGGAGATCACTTCTAATGTAGCCAACAAATTTATAAATATAAAAAATTTAACAATGCATAGAAAAATGTAGATATGATTTATGTGATAGTATTTTAATTTATTCTTTATAATACATTAGCTGTCTGAGTCCTGCGATAATCTGATAAGGGGCAATGGAGTCTCATTCTAATTTCTAATCTCTAACTATCTAAATGCAATTAACATGTAAAACAAAGCAATCTATTCCATCTCATATAAACTATCATAATCCCAAACTGCAGGCCGCATGACAGTCGTATAATGCGTTATGCGGCTACATTTTAAAGCAATGGTTGGCGGATGACCTACTCAGTGGATCTTTTAAAGTATTTTGTCGACATTATTTGGTAATAAGGATCTTTTAAAGTATTTTGTCGACATTATTTGGTAATATATTTATTTACATGCCTATAAAAAAACAACTTGTGGTTCCTATAGAAATATCAAAAGTTGATTATTTTGGCTTATTTCCATTGTCCATTTATTTGGAAGATTGGGTTCGGTCGTCAATCAGCTCACTCAAAATTAAAGAAACTATATGTAACTGGTCCAAAGAAACCTGATATTTTCCCTCCCTCCTCGCTTCTCCCCCCCCCTTCATGGTTATCACTTCTATATCCATCCCTCAAGAGCCACATTTTCAGGTTCGACCCTCTCCGATGGTGTTTGGTTTATGGACCGAACCTAACTACTTTTCCAGCAAATGCAGAGGAGGAGACATTAGAGAAATAGAAGTTCAAGTGACTAGTTAAATGTAATCAGACTTCCCAAGCCTCTTTAATTTTCTCACCATTGTATTCTTAGCGGACTGTATGGATTAAAACTCAAGAGTTTGTTTGGAAGAAGACGCAGGAAATCTCTGTAAAGTAGTTGGAAATTTGATTTGACCTGTTAAGGCGTTGGGATAGTTTTAAGATTGAAATCTGACCTTTTTTTTGTAAGAGCAGAGAGATAAGAAGAGTGATATTTGTAAGAAAAAGAAATGGAATTAGAGAGAGAGAGTTGAAGGAGAGCGGTCTTAGTGGGTCAAGTGATTTAGCCCACCCCAGCCCTGATAGCGCCAAGGCGGGACCTGGGCTAGGGCCTGGGCTAGGCCCTTTTTGGCATTGTTAGGACCAGGCTTGGGCTGGCCCTATGAGGATCAGGGCCAGGGCTAGCTCGGCCCATTACCAGCCATAGTTGATTGTCTTCTCGATGACTCAATCTCCACTGTGCAAATAAAATTGACTGCAGAGATGGGCCACAAACACCAACTTTTGGTGTTCCTATGGGAAGACCAAAAGTTCTCCCTTTAAGAAATCCATTTTAGCATTTCATGCATGGCCTTTGTGGATTTCAATCTTTTGCTTAAGGATAGCGATCATCAGCTACAACCAAAATCTTAATGGTAATTACCATATGTGATATTGGGAATATCTTGCTTACTATTTGATCTATTTCCGTAGGTCCCTGTATGGGGTTATAAGAAGTGGATCTATAGCTTATACACGTTGAGATTTTCTTCCTTGCATGCTTCTTCCAAATGGGTCTAGTGGCATAATTGTAAAGAAGGGGTTAGAGATAGAGCGATGTTCCTCTAATCCTTTTTATTTTCTTTCAAATAATTACCTCACAGAATTGTTGGAAGAGGCAAGTACAAATAATAAACAACGTTCGGAAATTCACTTGCCTAGCTGCCTAGGTGGACCTCCAAGGCGGCTAGGGGGCATTGCTGCATTGGGGGGGGTAGGTGGGGTGGGGGTGAGGGGCCTGGGCACATGCATCCGCCTAGGCGCCTTGGCAGCGCCTTGAGTCCTTGTCGAGAGGGTAGAAAAAATGCGCTCCCCCAAGGGAATTTAGGTACTTTCCTCCTTTTTACAAAGAGGTGGGGGGCGCAGGGGGGGAAGGGTTTTGGGGGCCATTGAAACCCCCCAAAACACAATGGCCCCCAAAACCCGTTTGCCTCTCTTTAGAGAGAGAAAAATTAAAAAAAACTAAAAAACAAAAGTGATTCAAGATTTTTTCTACGATTGAATTTTTTTTTTGAACTTTTCCAAGATTTAATTTTTTTTGTCCGAGATTGAAATTTTTTTCCAAGATGTTTTTGAGTTTGCCTTTCTTGAAAGGTTAATGAATTTTAATTTTTTGTTTAGGGTTTGTTGATTTATATGAATGTTGGTTTTGTTTTGGTATTTTTTTGTTTGTTTGTTTGTTTTTTGTTCTTGAAATTGATTCCAAGTTTTATGTTTAAATTTGTGCTTCCTATTCAATAGTGGGTTTGGTTTGTGATTTAAGTTTAGGTAACCCAATCTTAATGAAATTTCATGGAACTTAATCGAAATGTTTTTTTATAGTTTATTGGTTGGTCATTTGGTCGTATATTTGTCTCTTGATTAGGAAAGGGCCAATAATATTATTTTCCTTTCTTATTTTGTTTTGGGAAAAGTTTATATAGAGCCGACTCTCTAAACAATCAAATCAGAGCCTACCTCAAAATTTGCACTAGAAGAGGTGGTTTTGATGTCCAAATATCCTCAAATTGATCATCTCGACATCAAGATGCATGGACATGAGAAAAAAATGAATTTCAAGTTTTGGAAATAGTGTATTTTGTAACGCATTTTTAAACCGCCAATTTTCAAGATTTTAAAGTTTTCATAGATCTCTGTTGATATACTATTTTTGAAGCTTTAAACTTTATGAATAAAGATAAAAATATATTTTAAGGCTATCACAAAGATTTCCAGTACTGAAACCACATTCCTCGACACTATTTGAAGGTAGGCTCTAATTTGATTGTTTAGAGCCTAGGCTCTATACAAACAGCACCCTTTTGTTTTTGTTCACGTTCTTTCTTGTTTATTGGCATTAATGAATTGATAATATAGAATGTTAATTTTGGGAAATGGGCATCTTTTTTATTTTATAACTTGTTGAGTTTCAAAATTTTGATTGATATATCATATAGTATGATGTATCAGGGACTTAAATGGCATTTTTTTTTGTATTTTGTTTTTTCAAAAGGTTTCTAAGAACAACTTGTGAGGTATAGGCGTCCTACCAAACCCCTCAAACAACATCCGTCGGGCCTAGGACTCAACTTTAATGGACAGGGCACCTAAGAAATTGGATGTCTGTCCTGCCGCCTAGGTGGCCTGGACCCATGGCCACTTAGGCAGCCGAATCCTCATTTTTGAACATTGAGATTAAGTACATGCCAAAAGGTAAGCATTCAAAAACAGAGAGGGTAGAAATCTCATGCAGGCATAGAAACACAAAGGGGAAAAGAAATACAATGCGCCATGAGTAATAGGGTGCATCATGTGGTCCTTTTATTGCATAAGCCATCTAAAAGTTTTGAGAAAAAGTGGAAGTAATCAAAGAATGTGATGTTTGATGATTGCATTCTGGACTCAACGTGTAGATGCTCAGAGTGTTTGTAGGGAGAAAAGGGTCTGAGGTTGGAGATTTGGAGCATTGGTTCTTTAGAAGGATAATGGTAAGAAATGGCTTGAAACGATGTTGAGTAGTGGTACTAGGACCAAGGTTTCAGAGTGGGTGTGCTATCTGAAGCAGAAGGTTCCTAAAATTCATGTAGTATCATCTGCTGAGGTAGTTCCTATTCCTCAGAAAGAAGTGCATTGGAAGGAAAAAAGTATGCATTTGGTAATTGGATAGGTTCATGATATTGTATGCTACAAAATCAAATCTCTCAGTGTTAGCTGGGAAACCAGGTAAAAGAAATGACAAAGAGGAAAATTTTCAATGATTTCTCTCGAAGGAAGAAAAAAAAAGAAAGAAAGAGAAATGATAATAGTAAAAACTAGGGAGACACAAGCTTTTACTTGGTATTGGACCATTGGTAGTAGGAAGAAGTTGGTTATAATGGGGTTGGTTTGAAGAGTCAAAGGAAGGGAGTTGGGTTGGCTTTATCTCCCAATTTGTGATATCCAACAAAACTAGATTCTTTGTAGCCTTGACTTTATGAACTTGAAATTTTATTATCATACCATTACATAGTTCCTAATTAGATGATATATTATTCCATGATCGTACTTTTCTAATTTAAGCTTCATTCCATGTGAGTTACAGCAGCACTCTCGAATCTTCTTAGGGAAATTTATCAAATCAGATCTAAGACTTCAATTATTCAATATCTCACCCACGTGTCTTGATTTAATTTAAAATAGCTCATCATTCTTTTTATCAAATTTCAAATAACCCACCCAATGTCACATCATTATGGGTTTTGAAATTATCAAATCATACCTCTTGTGAGATGTTGATTGTTGAAATTTTACATGTAATTTGATAATTTGCCACCACCTTATCTTTGATTACAAGTTCCTTTGCATTTTATTGTTGTTCTGGTTATAATTTCTTGGCCATTGTATTGTAAAATTCCAGGATCTTCAACCGGAGTATAGCCTTTTCGGTATTATTGTCCATTCGGGCTACTCACAGGATTCTGGGCATTATTATGCATACGTCAAGGTTGCGTCCAATTATTTAAATTTTTTGTCAGATAAATTGTATTATTTGACTCCAAATTTGAGGTGACCATTATTAATGGCTAATAATTTTCTACTTGTCTATATTTGTTTACAGGATGCAACTGGCCGCTGGTTTTGCTGTAACGATTCTCATGTTTCAGTTGCAACTACACAGGATGTTTTGTCCGAAAAGGTATATATATTGTTTTTCATTCGTACCAATCAAGGATCTAAGTCAAGGAAATCTGGCTTCGCATCAATTGGAGTGAAGCCTTCAGTTTGCAATGGGAATGGTACTTCAGTTAGCCAAAAATTATGTGAACCTGTAGAACCACCAGCTAACAGGCCATCAACTGCCAAAATTTATCAGAAGTATTCTTCTCCATGCCTAGAGACAGGTAAAGTGCTCCTCAAGCCACAGATAAAATTTGCCAATCTGAAGCCTGCTGCTTCTGAGTCCCAAAGATCCGATGCAAATGGGAAAGTTATTCAAGAGGTCTACAATAGAGCATCAATTGAGAAACATGTAAATTCCAAGGAATCAACAGTTTCTGTAGCCAAAGAGAATTTGCCTTCTTCCATACATCTCAATGCTAATGGAAACAGACCTGCTGATTCTTCCCCTGAAATAAAAAATACATTTTTTAGTGGCAGTGTTGATGATCAGAAGGTCAATGAATGTTTCAACAAATCAAACCATATCGATCATACTGATAAAGTTTCTGTAGGAGAGGACAAAGGAGTGGTTTCTAAGAATTCACATTATGGGAATGGAAACTACCACTGTGATAGATCAGTATCCAAAAGAAAGTCGCATGATAATAGCAGTGCAGATGTTGACACATCTGTTGCTGCCAACTCATGCAGCTCATCCAAGCATGATGCTGGGGGCGAAATTGCAATTGATTCATGCAGAAAGATGGACCTTGCAGAATATAAGCAAATGTAAGTAATTCTGAACTATATAGTAATGTTGGTATTTTTCTTTTACTTTATAGCAAGAGGAACAAAATATATCTATCAATAGAAACACAATGATGACAACTATTTAACTTGTATGCATCTTGAATTTTGGGAGCTGCTGGACTAGTGAAACTTATTTAATAATGGAAATTATTTATCGTTCAAATAAATTAGAAACTGAAAAGTAGTTTTCTAGTTGCAGTTGTGAAAATCATCTTCAGAATTCAGCATGATTTATTTGATGTTTTGCAACAGTATTGAATCCGATATATATACTCTAAAAAAATTTATATGTTCGTGGTTCATCTACGATTGAAACTTGATTGGGTTATCTTTTCCTTGTTTGCCTGTTACTGTTACTGCCCAAAGCATTAGCATCTTTTGACAAGCTGTTTAAAACAATGAATGTGGAAACTACTGGCCGCTTGTGTTCTTTTATGAGCTATGTATAATATGATGCATATTGCTCAGAATTTGTTGCCCACAATTTATTTTTATTCAATTCTTGCTGCATGATTGTATGAAATATTGGTGTTAGAATAAAATTCAATGAATTCTCGCTACATGGATTTGCTATATTAGTGTGTTTTTTTTTCTCAAGGAAAAAGTTTATATAAGGTTGACACCTTAAAATGTAGAATTAAGGTGCACCTCTAAAATTCTTCAAAAAGGCAAAAAGGTTGTTTTTTTTTTTTGTTGTTTTTTTTTTTGAATAAGTTGACAATTGTATTGATTTAAAAAATGAGTACAACTAAGAGCATATACAAAAAATAGGCCACCCAAAATTTGGGTTCCCTGTACAAAAACCACGATGGGCCCAAAAAATGCTCTACATCAGATTCACAAGAGAACAAAAAAGGGGGGGACAAAATAAGCTTAAAAATTGCCTGCAGATCCCCTGGTAGAGTTAAGATTTGCTCCTTCCCTAGCTGTTACGCCCACTGTCGCATTGGCTTCTCCGAAAACATGGCTCCAGGTAACCCTCACAGAGCTGGAAATTTGAGAGGTTTCATCAAAGATGTGATCAAGTCTCTAGGGACATGGAGCTGCCCCAGAGGCCCAAGTAATTTTGTTACTGGACTGGCCTTCTACTAACAATTAAGTATTCCAGCTTGGGTCAAGTCATTGGAATCCTTCAAGCAATGTTCTGGCCTTTGCAATAGTGGATTTCGTAACTCCAACAGGTAAGGAGAAGGAAAGGAGGGTAGAGCCCTCATAATTTCTAAAAATGCCTCCAAGAGGGGCCCGGGTTGCCAAGAGAGCAACCATCAAAATTAAGTTTGGTTTACCCATCTTCCGACGGTCTCCACAGAGTGGAGCGGGAAATCCTCGGAGATCTCAGATAAATGAGATCATGCAAATTGTGATGCAGGTCTGTGAAAGAATTATTTTTGAAGAGTATGTGGTTTCTGGCCCAAAAGGAGACTAAGGTGCGGTATTTGTATATCAAAGAAGGGATGGAAGCTACTTTCCCCCTAAAGATTATGGTGTTCGCTTCTAGCCAGATAGTCCACAGAATTTCAGCGATGGAGGCTTTCCACAAGAAGTATCCAGAATTACTCCAAGGAGTATGCAGGTAGGTGGAAAAGAGCTGAGGACTGGATTGGGGAGTGACCCAGTGCCACTTGAAGAGGTTGAGCACATCGGTCCAAAGGGCTGAGGCTACTTCACATTGGATGAGGAGATGGGAATTTGCCTCTTAGCTAAAGAGAGACACATAGCGCATCTGTTTGGAAGAGATAGGTCTATTCTCTGTAGATTCTCGAGAGTTAAAGCCCTTTCATGGCGTGTAACCAAACTGAAACCTTGGATCTTTGGGGGGTTGGAGGGAACCAGGCTTTGGCAGCTATAGGGGGAACAACATTGATTGGGAGGGAGTCGAGGTAATGGTTCGGTAGGACGAAGCAACTGAGAAGGTCCCCGAAATGGCAGGAGACCATCAGATCCTAGAAAAACCAAGTGTCAGAAGGTTGAGAGTTCTAAATAGTGTCCAATTTCTTGATCATTGAGGGTTCTTCTAAAATTTGGGTTTCAAGCTCTAGTATTCCCAGAATGGGCAAAACAATCAGCCACTGACGAGTTGGGATTAATGGTGAGCTGGAAGAGAGAGGGGAACAACTCTTGTTCTTCAAAAGTCAGTTTCCTGAGATGCCTTTATCTCAGCCCTCCATCTTGTATCGATCTGCTCCTAATCACTAGTCAACTTCATGCCCCTTTCAAATTCCAAATTCACAATCGCATTTGGGTTCTCATCCAACCCAATTAAGATCTAACGGCTTGGTACGACTTTGTATTAAGTACTCGGCAGGTTTTTGGATCACTCACTTATTAAGGACCTGAAAACCCTTGATCATGTGATTGGGCCTCAGGGGGGCACGCTGGAGGATGGCATGGGGAATATTGTTGGTGGTCATAACCCCAACTTCATAGCCGATAAGGTGGATGTTTCTAGTAAACGAGTGCAAGATCATGCGAATAGTGAGAAGCTTCCTCAAGCTCGAACTAGGTCGCAATTAAAAGCTTCTTTGGCAGCTTCTGGTGACAAGAGGGGTCATTCTTCCTCAGGTACAGGTAATAAAAAAGGACTTACTCCAGCTTCTATTGGTGACAAGATGGGGTTACCCCATAAGGCTCAACGTGCTCATACAGCTCCTGAAAGTAAGGTTCCACTTACCAAACGTTTGATTTTATTTATGTCTATTGCCCCTTGGAATGTCAGGGGCCTTCAGGGCCAGGGCAGAATATCGGATATTGGGGTTTTAAAAGGACAACATAATCTTGGTCTTATTTTCTTATTGGAAACTAAACTTTCAGTGGAGCTGAGCTGTATGTGGTCTAAAAAGTTGGGTTTCTATAATAACTTTATTGCTAATGAGATTGAGGGGAGATCCAGAATTTTAGTCCTTTGGAACCCTCTAATTTACTCAATCAAACTGATTGATGTTGATTACTGTGGAGGCTACCCGTATCTGTAATGGTAATATTTTAGTGATTTCAGGAGTGTATGCCTCTAATTATGTATCCCAAAGGGCCTTGCTATGGGACCATATGAGGACCTTAGGAGCAACTATTGCTCTTCCTTGGCTGGTACTTGGGGATTTTAATACGCTATTGGATCCCTCGGAATCAGTGGGGGGGAGCAGTTCTCTACCACCAAACTCAGGCGATTTTGCGCAAGTAATGACGGATTGTGCTCTTGCTGATCTTGTTTTAGTCCGAGGATGGTTCTCCTGGTTTTAATAACCAGTTGAGCAGAAGATGCATTCGAAGCAGGTTGGACCGAGCTTTAACTACTACTAATTGGATTTTGGCCTTCCCTGACTCCAAAGTCCAGTTTCTCCTTAAAGGTACCTCAGATCATTGTCCCTTACTCGTCTCTACTTCTGATCTGGGTCTAGTTAGGCCCAAACCTTTTAAGTATTTCTCTATGTGGGAGTAGCATCAAGGTTTTTTAGATGTTATTTGTAATTCGTGGCGAGGCCAAGTGGGGGGTACTCCCAAGTATCGTTTTGTGGCTAAACTTAAGAGGCTCAAGGCTGACTTACGACTATGGAATAAGGAGGTGTTTGGCTTTGTTGGGGAATCCATTGCTATAGTTCGACACCAACTATCATCTTTGCATGATAGTCTACACATGGATCCTTCTAATGAGATACTCTTGTCTTAGGAAAAGGAGTATACTCAGAAATTGCAAAGTCTTCTTGCCAATGAAGAAAGATTCTGGAGGCAAATATCAAGACAAAACTAGTTTAAAGAGGGGGACTCCAATATCAAATATTCTCACTTATCGACCGTGGTCAGAAGGAGGTCTGATAGAATTATCTCTTTGAAAGATCAGAATGGGAATCTCTTGTTTACTGAGGATGATATTGAAACTAATATGATTGGCTATTTCAAAGACTTACTGGTACAGGAAAGCAATGTTGACCTTCACATGGTTGATCCGGCCTTGCCGCCTTTCCATCTCAATTCTTCTCAGAAGGACAAACTAGTGGACGCAATATCTATGGAGGAAATTAAAGCATGTATTTGGGATATGAAAAATGAAAGTGCTCCAGGACCAGATGGCGTTTCAATGGAATTCTACAAGTTTGGATGGGAAGTCATTAAAAAGTATCTTTTTCTGGCCTTTAAATATTTCTTCACTAAGGGTAAGCTGCTCAAGCAAATCAATTCCACCTTTATTTGTCTGATTCCTAAAGTAGATGCTCTTAGGGTGATGGAAGATTTTTGACCTATAAGGTTGTGTAATGTCTTATACAAAATCATCAGCAAAATAATCTCTAATCGTCTACGAGTCGTTCTTGCTGATTTTATTAATTTTGAAAGGTTGGCTTATCACTGACAATATTCTCATGGCAAACAAACTTATGTATCTTTTCCATAGGAACTCAGATCGTCCTAAAATGTGTCTGCAAATCGATTTGAGCAGTGCTTATGATAGAGTTTCCTGGGATTTTATAGTGGGTAGGATGCATGCTATGGGTTTCCTGAGCTATTTGTTTCCTGAGTTCACTTATGTGTTTCCACTACTTTCTCTATTCTGAGGAATGGCTCACCCAAAGGTTTTTTTAAAGATAAGCGAGGTTTGAGGCAAGGGGATCCTCTATCTCCTTATCGTTTTTTGCTGGTCATGGATCTTTTTAGCTGTCAGCTTGGTTGTGCTTTTTTGCAAGGCATGGTTCACAGGGCATTCCCTTCAGGGTGTGACTATGGGGTCTAGCATCTCTTTTATGATGATGATGTGCTTATTTTCTGTGAGGCATCCATCTCTATTGCTACAGCTATGCGTGTACTTATTCAAAACTTTGAGAGGAGTACTGGTCAGATTTTGAACTCATCTAAAAGCAAGGTCTTTTTCTTTGGGGCACTACGGGGAGGGCGGGGGAGAATTCTGCGGGAGTTAAAGTTTGTTGAAGGGTTTCTACCGGTTCGCTATTTGGGCCTACCATTATTTCTTGGACATCTGAAGCACATTTATTGCCATAATCTGGTGGGTAAGGTGTTTGGTAAGATCGGGTCTTGGCAGCCTTTATGTCTCTCATATGCCGGTCGACTTCAGCTGCTTAAGTCTGTTATAGGGGCTTCATCGGTTTTCTGGCTATTATCCTTCATTCTTCCGAAGAAAACATGTAATATGATAGAGAGACTACAGAGAAGCTTCTTATGGGCCGGTGAAGCAAAAAAAAAAGGTGTTCATTTGATAAAATAGAAAACAGTGTGCCTCCCTATGGCTGAAGGAGGTCTTGGGGTAAGGGATATGGCGGATTTCAATATCGCAGGTATGATGAAGTTAGCATGGAGGATTTTGGAAAATCGATCTACGTTGTTGGCACAATTCTTCAAACATCGATATTTTAGAAATTCCTCTATTTGGGAGGCGGAAGGCAGAAGAGGATGTTCTCATGCATGGAAGGGGATTTTACTTGGCTTATTTCATTTGAGAGGCAATGTGCTGTGGAATATCGGTAATGGTCAGTTGGTGGATTTCTGGATGGACCCATGGTTAGCAGGTCAGCTCTTATCCATGAAGCTAACATTCAAGAATCTTGGGGGGCTGCTGTACGAAGGAGCGTTTTAGATTTTATCAGAGAAGCTCCTCAAGTTTGGGTTTTGCCGTATCCCACATCTGATTCTTTGAGGAATATATGGAGATAGGTTGAGAATTATACTCTCCCTCTACAACCCAAGAATGACTCACTGGTTTGGATTCATTTTGCTGATGGATCTTTTTCTATTAAAAGGGCATGGGATTTTATTAGGCATCAAGGTTCTTCACAACCTATTTTCCGTGCACTTTGGTCCTCCAAATGCCACCCAAGGGCGAAGTAGTTTTCATGGCTGGCCTTGTATAATCGATTTCCCACTTCATTCTTACTACAGCAGCGAGGCATGCAATTGGACTCTTTATGTCCCTTTTGTAGTAACCATGATGACAATCTTTTTCATCTGTTATTTCATTGTGCCTTTGCGCAGGATGTATGGAGATCACTCGCTTGGAGATGTGGAAAAAGGTTTGTCCTTGGTACCTCTGTCCTTGATCTACTCAGGTGGTTGTTACTCTTCAGGTTTAAATCACATGGACTTCGTAATATTTGGTCTTCCATCTTTTTTATTGCTATTTGGTTTTTATGGGAAGAGCGCAACATAAGAGTTTTTGAGTCAAGACCCACCAGGGGATAGCTTATTGTTAAAAGGATTACCATGCATGTTTAGGCACTAGTAGAAGTTAAGAAATGGTCTTTTCATTTATCAGAAAAAGCAATCATTGGTAACCTTCAGATAACTTGGCAGCAGTAGAGGGCTGCGACCTTTACCTCCGTAGCGTGGTCTTTTCTTGAGACTCACAATTACAAATTGAATATTGATGGTGCTTCCTTGAGAAATCCAGGCTTAGCAGGTGGTGGCGGAGTTATCAGGAACAGAGCGGGTGGTTTTATTGCTGCTTTTGCAAAGCATTTTGGTCTTGCTTCCAATAACCATGCATAATTCTTGGCATTTGAGGCAGGAGTTCAATTGGTTATACAAAGTAATTGTTTTCCAATTCAGATTGAAAGTGACTCGGCTTTGCTTGTGAATGTCATTCAGAATCGATGCAATGCTCCATGAAGGCTAAAGACGATTGTTGACAATTGTTGCACCTGACTATCTTCTCATCGATGGTCCATCACACATGTCTTTCGTGAGGCTATCATAGTTGCTGATGCCCTTGTTAAGAGGGCAGCTGCTGGCCCCGATGCTAATGTGTGGTGCCATAGACCACCATATTTTCTTTCCTCTCTTTTATTACATGATCTGGTGCAAGTGCCCTTTCATAGGGTTGTAATTTAATTGTTTTCCTTTGGTTTTTTATTTATGAAAAACGGGTAGGGGGACCTTCTCCCCCACTGACTTACCCAAAAAAAGGTGTCTCTACAACTAGGTAGATGTTCTTTGCTCAGCACTTGTCCCAAGTAGCTGACTCAAAGCCCTAACACTAGGTTTGACTGCTATGATCTCCCCTCCAACACCAATATGGAATGAATGGTTGTGATTCTTTTCGTATTTCAGCGCCCAATGAGTTGAGATCTTCACCAATCAGAAATGTTAGCTCACCACGTGGAGACCAGTTGGACGACCAAGACCTAGGAGCGCATCAGCCTAGTGTATCCCTCTATCCCTCTTTTCCTCAATATCATGTGTTGTTGTTATTTTCACGTGCCTAAGAGTCAGTTGTTTACCACAGGGCATAATTAAATTATAGCTGCACACTTGCCCCCTCCTTTTCTCCCACCTCCCAAAAATATCTCTCCCTCTCATGACAACCTCTTGGTCCTCTCTTAGCCACTTTGTGGAGCAAATAGTTAGATATGCCCCATCCTCTATCTTCTAACAAAAGATGAAATACTCATTTCCTCACCATTCACATGCCTCAGGGCGCATTCAAATCTTCCCCAGGTGGTTCTACAAGGGGTCATGGCCCTTATAGAAAACCTTCTCAATCCCTGCCATTCCCGTTTCTCTCTCCTCAAGCCCCTCTCTCTGTACTTTCCCTTCTCATCTCTCCTCTCACCCTTGTCCCTTACCCTCTTGGCCTCCCACTTTCTCTCCACTCTTGCTCTGGCCCTTGCCTCAGTATTGAAACTGATTCAGCCCTTTATCTCGCATGTATCTCAAAACTGCCTTCTAAGAGTGACCCATCCTCCATTTCTTTCTCTATTAACTTACTGCCCTCAGTGTCTCAGTTGAGTTCCCCCTTGTTCTTAACCCCTCCCCTTTTTATTCTTCCCCCATTTTCACTTCCCTTATTAGTAAACCTAGTTTCTCCCCCTTCTTTGAGTCTTACATTCACCACCATCCCAATCTGACCCCTAGCTCTTGCAGCAGGAGAGAGTTTCGACTAGGAGGCAGCCCATTAAAGCTCTCAGTGTTTTCTCATGACACCATACCCTACTACTCAATAGATTCAAGGAAATTTAAAAATTCCATAAAGCGGAGGGTGGCATTGATCTTGTTCTGTGGGCTATGGGATTCAAGTCAACGGTCCCGCTTCTCACTTTAGTGAGTCTAAGAGGAGCAGTGCAAAAAAAAAAAAGGTAAATTGTGTGGGTGACTTGGGGCATTAGAAAATTATAGGGCATGAACTCTCTACCCTATGGGGTAAAATGGTGGTGGCACTTTTTCGTACAGGTCTTTCTGGCAAGAAGTGATCCAATACAGGTATGCCTTGATGACTCTAGGTGGTTGCGTACGGGCCTGCTCGATGCTCGGGTTTGGAAGTCTAGAAAGGGATTATTTTTCCACATTCACACTAAAACTAGAACAAAGTCAGAATATGGACACACTATTCTAGAATCTATTTATGCTAATAGTGAATCAACGTGTCATAGTTTGTCAATTTTATGAGATATTGGGTGGCCAATTTCATTTGTTCCCTTGGTTTTAGAGGAATCTAGATTTTAAGTGAAGATTTCTCATTTTCAAACTTTTTTGTCTCTTTTCAAACTTGCAGTTCAATTCATAGTTCTCAAGACCAGACTGGATTGCCTGGTCCCACTGGATTGCCTGGTTCCACAAGTTGGGCCGCCAACCGGTGCTGTGGCCTGTCCCAGATTATATCCTTTTGCCGTGTTTTAAGAGAGGCTAATGTTCACATAGATGTCTTTGTTAACTAAGGTGGTTTTACGATATGCTTTTTTGTTCATTTGAGACTTTGAGATGTTGTCTTGCGATGCCCGTAATGTTGTATCTCGTTGTAACTTATCATAGTTACTAATAAAAATTTGTTTCCAATCAGAAAAAGAAAAAAGACAACCTTATTTCTAGTGATTGGTTATTATTAGGTGTGCATATTCTTGGTGATTGGTTATGATGTTGGACTTCCACTATAGAGATAGATTTTCACTCAGGCTAAATTTTAGGCTTTTTGCTTTTTCATATTGTTTGAAATGCAAAGCTATAGGTTGTTAATGGGTCTATATATATTTTAAGGGGCTAAATTGACATCCTTAATTACTGAGGGGAACTACCTTGTTGTGAGCAGATGGCTTAGGTGGGGTTTATTTGTACAATGAAACTTAGTGGTTTGTTTTTGCTAGCCGTTATCCACTTTGTACTTTGAACATTGCAAATGTACATCAGTTTTGAGCTACTATGATTATAGCCTGAAACTTTAGGGATCTCTACTGCCATGAGCATTGTAACATAAGGTTCTTATTGGGACAATATGCTTTGCTGCATGCATGAAACTGAGTCAGGTCATCTGTGTTGAAATGCTTTATAATGTGGGATATTTTGTTAGTAGAGCCATTCTTTTGTTTTGTTTCTGACTTGTTTCCTAATGGTTTCATTTTCTAAGGCTTGCTCGAGTAGGCCGTTCAGATCTGCTGTCATGCGGTTGGTGTGATGAAGTGCGAGATTTCATGCGTGCTAGAAAGAAGTTGTGTAGAGGATCAGCAAGCAGCATTACCAATAGTGTCGAGTTGAAGTGAGAACCTTTCTTTCTCAAGAGAATATACTTAACTGTTCCTGCATCAGAACATATTGACATGTGCACACACTCATACAGGAATACACATGCTGTTTGTGCCTGTGTGCGTGTCTTTTATAACTTTTTTTGTTTCTTTGTTCCTTTTTAGTGTATCTTTTTTATTTCACCATGTTGAAATTTGGTGAGGTTTGTCTAAAGAAAACTAGCTGATGGAACTCCAGCAGGAGCGATTTTGGAGCAATAAAAGTCCGGCTCACTTGGCTGGTCCTTGAAGTGGCTCATGTGGGTCATTCTCCTCTGCTATGTGGGGCCCATGGGGCTGACTCTGTGTAGATGCCACAGCTTTGGAGACCGACATGTTGGGGAATAATTATTGGTAGTGCATGCTTCTCTCTGTTGTGGTTGGTGTCTTGCCAATGTAATTGATGTGATTAGTGTCTTGTAATTGATGGGATTAGTTTTTGTGGGCCTTCCCATTTTTGGCTGAATCTTTAAGTCCGAGTAGGTTTATCTTGCTATCATCTGAACATGTGGTCTGATCTCCTATGTATGAGACTTGAGATAGTTTCCATCGTGTGGGTTGCTGCTGCTTGACTCCTTCAAATGAATTGTAACTATGACAAAAAGCTTTTGTGCTATTCTTGATACCAATTTGAGCTATGGCTCTCTTCTATTGTTTTCAGCTCCTAGGCTAGTTCCTTGGGAAGGGTTCATCATGGCAGTTTGTGCGTTACCTATTATCTGGTTTGCTGATACTTGGCAATGTATTGCATTATTTCAAGGTTGTAACACAAAATTACATGTCGATGTGTCTTGGTGAAGTTGTCGATAGTGAAATGCTTGTGCATACAGCCTTGTGCCAAGCTGCTAGGTTAAGCCTTGTGTGCCTAATGGACCAAGGCACATGTGCTTCCAATGAGCACTTGGATTTTCACATGCTGGATTTTTTTTTCTTTCAAAGCTATGCAGTGTCAATGGACCCCAAAATTACATGTCGATGTGTCTTGGTGAAGTTGTCGATCGTGAAATGCTTGTGCATACAGCCTTGTTAAGCCTTGTGTACCTAATGGACCAAGGCACATGTGCTTCCAATGGGCACTTGGATTTTCACATGCTGGATTTTTTTTTTCTTTCAAAGCTATGCAGCGTCAATGGCAATTTGTTAAACGTTATTAGGTGTAATAGAGGGACCTCTCTAGTGATAAAAGGATAGAAGGTGCTTTTCAAGAGATGAATGGTGTAAGTCCAACTGCTGTATTGGAGTTATGTCGTAATGGTTGACAGGCTAATGAGTGGTTACCAGGATTAGAATCGAATCAGATCCAGGATTGGATTGGGAACATGATTGAGGGATCATGACAAGCAGGAAGCTCCCTATGGTAAGCATCATCCTTACATCTTGAAATCTATGGATCACAATTCCAATGTGGGAGCTCGGTCCAAACTCAACCAGGATCAAATGATAAATTATACTAATGCAAACCTCCATTTGGTTGAAAATCGAGTCCTTGAGAGCACTTAACTAGTATAGTAGTAGTATATACTACTATATTGTACCATGCTGCTACATAATTATATGCTGCTATACTATACTACAATACTATACTATATGCTACTATACCATACCATATGCTGCTATGTTTAAATTTACTCTATAGAACTATATAATCTATGCTACATCACCTACATATGTAATATATTACTATATACTACATATATAGTACATGCAATGCAGTATTTAAAATCCAACTCCGTGAGTTTGAAAAAAAAATTAAGATTAATATTGAGATCCCATTGTTCTACTTCAAGTTGCACACAAAGTATTTGACGAATTTGTTTATTGAAGACAAAGTAGAGAAGAATGTTAGGACTGCATCATCAACTTTTGAGAATGCCTCTGACAGATTTAAATTCAACAAGCTCAAGGTTGAGCCTCTACCAACCCCAGGAGAATGATGCAAATAAAAAAATAATTTTTAATTTTTTTTTTTTTTTTATATTTTCTAGGATTTAGAAAATATATTAGTTGGATTTTTAGTTTTTTTTTAAGGTTATTCTTGTCTTTTTTAGTTGTAGAGATTTAAGGGATAGAATTGGAAGTTTAGTTCTTAAACAAAAGTTGGATATGGATATGGATTAGCATGTTTGGGTGGTTAGGATATGTTAGACTTGTTTTTAACAGATAAGGGAGAGATAGAGTTTAGTTTTCTATTTTTATTTTATTTTTATTTATTATTCCTTTTGGTTTGTATTTAAAGGGAAGATGTCCATTCTTTATAGAGAGTGATTGGAGAATAAAGAAAGAGTTTGATCTAGTAAAATATCTTAAGGTGGACTCCCCTGCAGACCTATAGAGAGGGTATAATCTCTCGACCCTTTTTATTTTATTTAATTTTTCTGTTTATTGTTATTTTCCCTACATCATCAATAATATATAATATGCACTACTTATTATACCACACTGCTAGAATATACTATAGTGCTTTACCATTAGACTATACTATAGCTGTAAAATTTGAAATGTGATCTCTCTCTCAAAAACAACTAAATTTCAAAGCTTAGTATGTACTATTATGGTTTTTTGGCTTTGTGGTCATGATGACCAGATTCATGTGATGAGACCAAAGTTTATGGACCATACTATTGTCCATCAGGACCACTCTCTCGTTTACTCCTTTCTTTACTTTTGACGTAGGGCTTGGAATGAATTGACACAAACACACATGATCATATGTGTACATATTAAATCATGTGACATGTACTTTAAGTTACCATGCCACTTAGTATGATGAGGTGTTACCTCATTGGTCCTCTATATACCCCCTTCTTCTTCTTAATGATTTTTTTTTAATTTGCCTCTTCATCTGCTTTATCCGAGTTTTTGTAGTCACCAATCCATCCAAAAATTGAAGCTTACACGAGGCCTTTAATTAGAGTTATGTCATTATTATTGATGTTCCAATCGATGCTTTATCAATTTGTTTTACCAATTGTGACACATATCGGTATCTCGTGTTATGGTTTTAGACGAGTTGTTGTGAATGCAACCCTGTAACTCGAGTTGTAATATTGATCAGCCTATATCCCAGGAGTGTGTTCATCCGTACTGATTACATCTTGGGATTTTCACCGAGCCTGGGACATTTAGCACTTATAAGAAAGTGAGTCCATCTCATGCTTCTTGATCTGTTGATATTTTATTGTATTTAATTTTACATGTCTCTTCGTATTACTCAGAAATAGACCTAATCCCTCAGGGTTTAACTAGTATTAAGAGCATTCTTATCCTTGTAAACTCTGAACCCGGATGTAATCCTGTGTTAACTGGAATTAGGATTATCTTTGAAATTCATCCAGAAAATTGACTTCGGTTAAGGGGAGACTATGCTGAAACTTAGTTAAAAAAGAGTCCAAAAAATCCAACAATTTCGAAGTGGTAAGCGTTTATCTCACGGGATGGGTATTGGAAACTTGTTGAAGGCTTTGACCCAAGATTTTGTAGGATTGGAAAGCTTTGATGGTGTAAACTTTAGAAGGTGACATTCCAAGGTCTAATTCTTATTGAGGACCGTAAGGGTTGACTATACACTGAAGAAACCATGTCCATCTGCCATTATCTATATTGCCTCTTTTGGTTAGGCATCTGTACAGAATGCCATCAATAGACGAGTCCCAGCCAACAGGAATGCAGTATACCCTGTTACCTGAAGAAAGACAGCTGTGGGAATAAGATGATTATACTTGAAAATGGCATATCCTGTATACTTTGAGTAATCCTCCGTTTGATCTCTACTCAGGAATGCCAACTGTAAAGGGCATATGGGAAGCTTTGGAGACAAGATATAAAGAGGAAGTGCTGGGAGAGAGAAGTATCCAACTAGTGATACTTGAATTTTAGGATTACAAACGAAAAATCGGTGGTGGCTCAAGTTCGTGATTTTCAAATTATAGGAAATGAACTTGCATTGAATGGTATCGAATTTGATGAATCCTTCCATGTGGGCGCGATAAATTGCTGCCCTCTTGGAAAGACTACAGAAATACACCAAGCATATATCAAAGGATTTGAACTTGGTACAACTAATCACTCATTTAAGAGTTAAAGAGGAGCCCACACTCCGAGATATGAAAGAGCAGAAGTCCCAAATAGTCACCAGACCCATGTTATTGATGGTCAGAAAAGGAAGAAGCCAAGGACAGAAAATGGAATCAAAATAGAAGAAAAGCAAGATGATAAGGCTCCAATGCCAACGACTGCTCAAGGCATAGGAACAAAATCCACGGTATGCTATTTCTGCGTCAAAGCAAGTCATGTGTGGAAATTCTGTAGACTTCGAAAGAAGCAACTGGCTCAAGCCAATGTCCTCACCCTTCTAGATGTGTGTCGTGTCCCTGAACTCTGGAGAAATCTAGTGTCTGTATACCTTTTGAAGAAGTGGGGTTTCGAGCTTGTTTTTGAGTCCGACAAGTTCATCTTGTCGAAGAATGGGGTCTTTGTGATACGCCTCTCTAAGGGATGTTCAAAAACAATATAAGTAATGAAACAAGTATATCTTCTTCTGTACATGTGCTTGATTCTCCTTCTTTATGGCATGGTAGATTAGGTCATGTTAGTTATCGTGTATTGAAAAAAATGAGTACTTTAGACCTTATTCCCAAGTGTGAGAAATTTGGAAAAACTGTGATGTCTCTGTACAATCAAATATCACAAAGAAATCCTTTCCTAAAGTGGAAAGAAGTTCCAGGTCATTGGATTTGATACATAGTGATGTAAGAGATGTACAAACTTGTGGTGGGAAGAGATACTTTGTCATTTTTATTCACGATCAATGTTCAAGAAGTCCGAAGCGCCTGCCTAGGAACAATGACGCTAGCCCCCCCACCCCCATGTTTTTTTCTTTTTTCCCCAAAAGAGGAGTTTTTAGGGCAGGGGTTTACGCCTCTCAGGTGGTTCTCATGGCAATTTTAGAGCCCCAAAGCCCCTAGAGATAAAAAAATAAAAAATTATAGAGGCAGTCATATGAATGAAACCATCTTAGAATTTATCAAATTGCATTTGCATCGAAACTCAAATATCATTTTATAAACAAGATAAGTCAACCATAAGGAGTCGAAAAACAAAAACAATTGTTACTCATCAATTATTACTCATTACCACCTCGAAACTTAAAATGAATGTCAACTGAACTCTATTTCATCACTCATCATTCATCAGTCATCACCAATTTGGGTGTTCAAGTGGTCCATCTTGAGCAGAATCTGATGAGGATGATGCCATGCCATCATCATCAGAGTCATCACTCTCCTCTAACATAGTGAGTATCATACCTTGTCTCTTCTGAATCTGCATCATTCTGTTCATTCTCCAGTCTCAATCCCGGCGACCTCTTCCCCGTCCCCTTCCCTTTTGGCTTTGAGATTATGCCCGAGTGGTCCGCATAGGGCTCAATGGTGTCCCAACAGCATCATGAACCTGGCCCAAGTCAAGCCCTCTCCAGGGAATACCTCATCTTCCTCGGCATCAACTAGCCACTCACAAGTATCATCCATATCATCAGCTTCAATAACCTCCTTTTTATTGCGCTGCAGCTGTTGATGATGCTCGTGTAGCTTTTGGTTATACGAAACAAACAGTAGGTCATTCAGTTGCCTTTCCTCAAGTTTGTTCCTTTTCTTTGTGTGCACCTATTAGATAAAATTTGATAAACAATTAAAATTTAGATTAACCTAATATAGGTTAAGTGATTAACTAATAAACTAACTTATTATGTAAGTATTAAATAATATTACCATTTCAAATGTGCTGAAGTTGCACTCACATTAGACGAGCTACAAGTTAGATTATGTATATGCATGGCCATCTGTCGCAAATTTTGGATTGACCTATGTGAATGTGGTCCGCATTCTATGATAAGTTGTTTCTTTGTCAGCATAATCATTTCCTGTTACTTGTTAGAAAAATCACTTGTCCTAGTCTATGTTTTGAACCTGTTTGAAAAATATGAAGCTGTTTATAACTATGAATAGTGGTATTGTAATTTAATGCAGGAAGATGCTGGTGGCAGAAGCAAAGGAAAAATTTATTCCTCTCGTTCCAAACTCAGTGAAGGAGCGTCTTATCGGATCTCTTCAAATGTTCAGTTGGGAGAAACAGTGATTGGATTTATGCGCAGTCAATATGGTATGCTGTGGAAACTACTGGTGTTTTCGGAAATTCCTTTTTTTTCCCTTTTACTTCAAAAGGGGCTGGTGAGAAGAATCATGAATCATTTGGATGTTATTTGCAGTTGTATTCTAAGCTCGTATTGCTGCTGGAACTGATTTACATAGGATAAACAAATGCAAGCCGGTTCCCCTTGCGTGACATGTACAATAGCGGTATGCACACTTTTCTGCATTTCATAGTACTGAAACGCTCAACCTCGGCATCGCTTTATCATGGATACTTTTTTACTGTTTTGATACTTTTAGCATGGATATGCGGGGTTTTTGTTTATAATTACCAAGCATTTTAGCTTTTTTTCATATTATATTGCATTTTGGAAGCGGCTTTTATGTAATAAAGTCGCAGTATGGTTGATATTTCTATGGAGGCAGTTTATGAGCGACTTCTACATTCGGGTGGGTATTGATGAGGCCTTTCCCGGCCCGTGTTTGGGAAACGAAAAGGAGATACGTCATGAAGTCTTTCTCTTGTATTGTACTATTTACAGTCACTTGCTCTGATGTTAGAATTTAGTTGGGAAATGATGCCATTTGGCTAATGAAGCTTTGCATGAAACAATTTTCCAACCTCATTATGGATATTCTTCATTTTTCATCAATTTTCTAACAACGTGAATTTTAAGCCCTTTGTTTAGTACTGTCGCATTTACAGAGTAATGATTAACAAATTTTCTTGGTGCCTATGAGAAAAGTTTGAGCCTCTTGTTTATTATGATGTGCTTTGTTGTTGTTTTAGTAATGATTCACCATACAATTCTCCAGGTGACCATGAGATTCAGATTTGTTGTTACCTGACGGCCCGGTCGAAAAAGTTCCTTGTGTGTTCTGTGATCCGGACGGCAAATTTTCGATCATTGTGGCTGCAGCTTCGTTTTTGGCGGTGGTTTTAATTCTTGCAACATGGAATTCCAGAGTGTATTATATTTGTTTCCCTTTTCCTTTATGCTAGTACACTTAATCTCAATCGAAAGGGTAGCCTATGTTAGAGGTGAGCATCCGGAAATTTGGTCTTTTAGCATCATCGAGTTCAGCTTTTTCGTTCTGACTTTGTATCTTTGGTTTCCATCAACAAAACAATGGAGCCAGAGAATTTTACCTTTCCATAGATTAGAGGGAGTAAATTGTCACTACAATATTTTTGTATACGAAAGGGTCGGTTCCAGTTGTGATGTTCCGAGTACTGTTTTATATTTACATAGATCGAGCCTCTTGGTTTCTTGATTTCTCTCCTTCCCGTCCAACCATATTGATCAGCTGCAAGGACGGACTGGACCGGCTTATTTAGATGCTGGGGATGGGTTGCCAAAAATTATTTTTATTCATATTGTCTTGGGATTCTGGCTGGCTGATATTTCCATTATTGAAGAGCATGGTTGCCGGTGCTAGTTTTTTTTGTGGTTGAAGCACATGTGAGCCATTTTTGTGGCTTTACAAAATTTGGGTAGCCTGCACTTCAAAACCTCATTGGAAAAAATGAGATCTGGTGCTGGAAAACCTTATAATGGCATGCAAATTTGTTTGTCCTAGACTGAGTCGAAGCACAAAAATCGTGTAGATGTGGCAAATTTCTGTGTTGATTTGTCAAATTTTAGAATATTTGAAATGGAGGCTCCTGAAAAGGTGTCGTTAAGATGAATCAGGCTTGGAGTCTACCATTTAAGAGTTTCCATTTTCGCAACTTCCTGAACACAGGTAAAGATAAAAACTGTGATATGGCTTTCAGGATTTCCAAATGGCCCATAAATACCCTACCGGAGAGCATCTTAATGTTTTGACTGCGTACCAACCGCACTATTGAAGGAAGGCACCTTGTCAAAGTCACGCCAGCACGCAACTCGTGTAATGCATGACTCAAATAGAATATCTTTAGGGCATGGAGACTGCCACGCACGCAGAAAACAACAAAAACTTGTTATCTTTACCGACTTCCTTGCCAAAAATGTGATTTACTTCATTCCAATAAATACGAAAAGTACATCTACAACTTTTGTCTGGCACCAACAAAATATAATCAAACGTTGAAGAGGGTAGTTTATCAGAAGGGTGAGGTTGAAATCTTAAACAATCACATAAAGGTGCACCTCCAAAATATCTCATAAGATGCAATTATGGTGTCAAAATTTTTAGGATAACTTTAAATTCAATTTTTGTATCTAATTATTAAATTTTAAACTCCAAAAGTGGTTCAAATCAAGCAGATCTATAAATGCATGAAAATAGATGGCTAAGATAATATGTTGTTAGATGTACTACTTTTTAGATTTGAAATATTTTGTTTTTTTTTGCGTATATCCATACATCAAAATAGTCTTTCCGTATGGAGTTTTTAGGTGTATCTAAATTCTACAATAATTTAAGGTGTCAACTTTATATAAACCTTTTCCTTATCAAAAAATAACTGACATTTGAACTATTTGAGATTGAAAACCCATTTTTATGTGTGGCTGTTTGAAATTTGATAACGATGGACAATTTAAAATTAGATACAAAAATAAGGAAAAGATGTTGAATAGTTATTAATAATGTCTCAAAGCTAAAATTAAAAATTATAAAAGTGCAACACAAGTATTAGATCAACAACATAGATAAAGCGAAAAAGGATGTGCACCTCTTATCTCCTAGCTTGAATAGATTCAACAATTCTTGCCTTTCCCATTCACCAAAAATATATTTCAAATGGCCAAAGATGGATGGATAAAGGTGTGCACATCTTCTATTTGGCGTGATCTCCGTTCAAATGGATTAAAGAATTCAAAACCCTTACGTCGACGAAAAAGAAGAATGGCTATACATAACATGTTTTTTACCCAAAATCGAAGAGCGAAGCTGACCAAATTGATACAAATCAAGATAGACACGCATTCTGAAATTTCAGAATTATAGTTTAGGATTTGAGGTCGAATTGGACGCCAACTTGGGGGACTTGCAGGACCACGCGGGCACCGGGGTGGGAAGGGAAAATATGAGTGAAAAGAGAAGAGGGTGTTTTCTGATATTTGGTTAGAGTGTTCTCCATGTTAACCACTTGTGACCCTGTTTTTGTCAAGTGTCTCACTCTCTTGTTTGCCACATTTCTCCTACTGTTTACGTATTCATTTCGAGATCTCATTTTTCATGTTGTTCTTCTCGCACTTTTTTAACTTTCACCTTGCTGCACAACTATCACAGGAATGTAAAATTATGAGCTATAACAGGTATTCATATCATGTAGTTTCCCCAAATCCACTATAAACTCAACAAATGCACAACTTCACGAGTATCGAATTTGAACATCAAACAGCATCTTCTCATTGTTAATTTTACATGATCTATTATGCATATATATATATATAAATTTCAATTGATCACAACATCAAATTACATTGTGGTTTCCGGAAAATTCAACCGATCGCGGCGGCCCCAAATGCAAAGCAACCAAATGACAGGTTTGGTATAGTACAAGGGGAAAGCGCATCCGTTCTCCTGGGTGGGTGGCGCAATTTTACATGAGTATCTTCCTTTCGTCGATCTTCTGAGAGGCACTCACTCGCTGTAAACATGGCGCTCTCGAGGAGGTGAATTTACATGCATAACAATGAACAAATGGTGAGGCGGCTAGCGGTAGTAAGGCGAATTTGTGTGGAGCTTCTTTCTTTTTTGGAGGAAGCGTTGCAAAGAGCGTTTCATAGATTGGCCGGTTGCCATTTTCGCTACCGCTGAGAATCCGATGTGAGGCTGAAGAAGAGGAGGAATGCTAATGATGCTGCTGCTGCTGCTCTGATCTGAGGACGATTCAACAGGAGAGATCCTAAGAGTGGTGTCCACATCTTCTTCCTCTTCAGCAGCGAGACCTAGAATAGCACTCGCCTGCCCTTCGGTCACATGGCAAACACTCACCCTCCCGTTGTAGAATATCGTAAGCTGCTGCTGTGTTGCTGTGTTTCTCGCTTCCTCTCGAGTCCTTCAAATTACAAATTAAGGAAAAAAATTTGTATGAGTTGAATAATCACTTCTCTACCTCATTTAAGTTCCAAATTGATGAATAGATGCGACACATGATCTCCATGTCCATTCAAGAATAACATATTGGTGTGTCCTGTGGACGCTGGAGATCCCGATCGCATGAAAGAATAATGGGGCACGGCACTCGATGACATCCATGCCTGCTGTAACAGTTAAAAGAATAATTGGGCAGGGCAGGGCAGGGCAGGGCAGGGACATCCATGCCTGCTGTAACTGTTAGATTGATGCATGTTTTTTTTTTTTTTCTTACGAAAAGAAAAATGGCAAAGGCTGGATGTACCTGAATGATGGCGATGAACCGGGCGGCCACGAAAAAGGAGTTGAAGAAAGAGAGGAAATGTCCAAAGCAATATCGTTATATTTCCTCCCCATTTCTCTCTCTCTCTCTCTCTCTCTGTTGCGTTGTGTATGGGAAGAGTGCAGGTGAATGAATCGAGCAGTTATAAGGAGGGGCCTCTCTCTCTCTTTCTCTATATATATACATAAGTATGGTTGATTTAGTGTTACACGTGCAAAAAGGAAGGGAGGCAACTGCTTTTGCGCGAAAGACACGTGAAAAGTAGGCGAGTGCACGTTTTCTTTGAGTTTGAACTTGGGCCTCAAGTCTAGAAACTGAAATTTAGGTCGTTTTCGATTAGCGCAAGTTGCGCCGGGGTCGCCAAGTCGGCAACAACATCCATACCCTCTCGCCTACAACTTTATTATACATACATACATACATAGCGGCCGTCAAATGCCATGCCCGATGGGTCTTGTCCCGGTCCATATGGACCTGGTCCCATCTAATAGTATTTTAATTAAATATAATTATATATTTTTAATTATAATATTTCAAAGAAAACTTCTAGAAACACCAAAAACGAACATTATTTGTCATTGCAGTTTTGCCTACAAAATCATCCCAAGGTCGATCCATCGTGCTTGCGTTCTTCGCTTGAAAAATCAACTGCACCGAAAATGCTATATCCATTGTAGTACTGTAACAAATATAGCATGTCTGGTTCGATTGATTTATCCATGACATCCGAAAATATCGGATGGCGTCGAGCCTATAGGCGAAATACTATTCATTTTCACCCATAGACATGCATAGTGGCTTCTATATTTAAATAATACATGCATATATTTAATATAATATCGAAATTTTTTTAAATATTTATTTTTTTGGTAAGATCCAATCAAGTCCGGTCCCAGTCCGGGTGCAGTGGGTGGTCCAATTGAGTCCGGGTCCCTATTCAACCCGTTGCCAACTTCGCGGCCATGGCGTGTAGGTCGGCAAAAGAACAAATATGACGAGCCTGTCTGTCATTTAGCAGAAAAAGAAGAAATCTGTCATTATTGTCGTTTCTTCGATTCAGCAAAATCGGTATTTCGGCGGATCGCTTTTCAGTGCTCGTCAAAATTAGCGCCGCTCCACTCCTGCAATTCCCCGCTTAGGCACTTTTTTTGGACTCTTAAATTTCCGAGACGCAACCAACTCATCCTACTCTACAGTCTTGCAAAAAAAAATTAAAAGTTGAATCATTTAAAAATAAGAATAGTACTTTAAAAATATAAAATATATTTCTAAAAATACCAATTTTGTTTAGCTAATAAGACTGATCAAATATTTATTATGACCAATTTTCAACTGAATTTAATTTTTATTTTGGATAAGCGTCGATTGGGGACCTGACTATTTGATCCAGTACTAAGTTCTAATGTGCCTAAAAATAAACTTCTTAGCCAAGTATAGATTGTCTAATTTTTTATGGGTAAACTCAATTCTAGATATCCAAAAGCTCAAATCTTTTTATTGGTGGTGAATCTAAAGCATATTTTAGATCAACAGAATACTCCAAATAGAATTATTTCCCATGTCAGCAAATCTGCAATTTTCTCTAGGAGAATATCGAAAGAATGAATGAAGGCAAAAGAGAGAAGGCGGATGTCTTCCATATGGGGAATGTTGTTGGTGTGCGTGAATCTGTTTCCTCACTACTTGTGTGGGCCTCTACAATCATTATCTTACTGATCAAAAAAAAAAAAGACAATCATTATCTTCATTTACTTTTTCACAAAATAAAGCTGAGCATGTATATTCTTTTTCTTTGCGAGTATAGTTTATTTTATTTCTTCTCTCTAAGTTAGAAGACTTATTAGGGAGGATTTTTTCAATCTGAATTTTTGAGAATTATTTAAAAATTACTAGGTGATTTTTTTTTTTAAAAAAAGAAAAAGCTGAAAATCCAGTTTTCTAACACTTAGATCTAATCCTATAAAAATTGGATGGGCTCTATTCAATCTTGAGAATTTTTTTTTTATGTGCATAATGGATACAATTAGGAACTTTTTTTTATTGGAGTTAATCTATGGGTTAAAGATGTTACATCTCCAAAATATGGGGCCCTAAAATTATTTCTTACATGATAGAGTAAATGGACATTCTAATATATTTCGGCCATTAAATTATCCCTTTGCCTTCTATCTCTCAGCCTCTCTCTCTCTCCAAGTGGATATAAATGTTTAGGTCCTGTTAGTTTAGAGAACCTCATATTGTGTTGTTGAGTAGGTTAATATGCAACTGAAGGTAAAATAGGTTGTAAACAACAAGATAGAGTGTACAGAGAACCCAGAGAAAACAGCATCACACGTGACAAGGAAATGTATAACGTGATTAAGGATATGTATACAATGAGGCTATTTACTTTTGATATAAGATAATCGCAATCATTATTAACAAATAGATGTGAAATTGGATATAAATTTTAAAATAATTTTTTTTGAATGTTACGATACATACATTTTAAATAATTTCATAATATACAACCCCTATTACAGAGACATATAAGGCCACATCCTTCCAACCACAACAAACCAAACAATTATACCCAAGTATAATGGTCCCCTCACATAATGGATCATGTGCATATCCTCAAGTTTGGCAATTTATCACATGCACCCACGCAACATCCTATCTTTCACAAAAGCTTTATCTTGCTTCAAATGAATTTCTCTTCATCCATTTTAGGAGCTGATGAAAGGGATCCAACCAATCTAATTTGGACTGATTATAGCAACTCCATAAAAATGGTAAATGTACCTCATTAACTTTCAAATGTGATCGAGAAGTTATTCATTTAATAGAATAGACACAATCATTCAGCAAGCAAGGCTGGGACCCTAAAAGCCACATTACCTACCAAAGCTATTCCAACCCATACCTAAACAAAAAGAGACTCGAACCTGATCAAAGCAGGCATGACTTCCTTTAACAAATGCCAAACGTTACACATAAACAGTGGCAGGATCCACCTTTTGTTCAGCGCTTCAAAAATTGCTGAACCGACGAGGTACCATAATGGTCCTACATCAAAAATAAGAGACTTGGCTCAAATCTCACCTTAATTTGATATTTATTGTATGGGATTATCTACAAAGAGACCATTTATCTTTTATACGTAGAGGTTACAATTATTCTCACTCATTAGATGTCAAATTGGATGGCTTAAGATGAATCCCGAAATCCGAATTTTTTTTTTAAAACTTTGTGTCTATTCAATAACACTTTTACAATCACCCATTTTGAAATTTAAGAGACAAAAATAATTGTGACCTCCATTTACAAAAGATAAACGGTCTCTTGTAGACAATCCTTGTGCTTCTTATAGAGAACCTGAGTCCTTGTTTTGGAACACAAATTTTGAAAATTTTGGGAGATGTTTTGCTTTCAGGTGTAGGAAGGAATCTCACAAGGTCTCTAATCTCATCAATGGCACCTCTTAGGCTCTTAGGGAAATTTAGCCAGAAGGATATTAAAAAAACAAATAAATATGACCCACTGTAAAGTTCCGGGGCTTCTATATTAGTCATCCCCCTGAAGCAAGAACCAAGCCGCAAGGTTTCATCTCAAACAGCGTTGACTCTTTTTATGCATCTTAAGACTCAAGTGTAATGAAAAAGTAAACTATAATTTTGTTTACCATCAGTAAAAGGTTACAATTATCAATTAGCCATCCAATGTGAAATTGGATAGGAGCATGTTACCAACCATGCCGAAGGTCAAAAAAATTATCTTCAATTATGTGTCACATCTTTAACCACCTGATTTAACATCTGACAGCTAGAACTGATTGCGACCTTCATGTATCAATGATAAATGATCTTATAGTGTACATCTCATTTATAATTGAGACCATGCATTATAATACTATTTACTTTTAGTGCAACAAGATCACAGTCACTCCTAATCATCTAATGATAAATCACATGGTTAAAGACATCACATGGTTAAAGACATCACAAAGTTCAAAGAATTTTTCTTTTTTTTTCTTAAACATCAAGCAAGGTCCATACCACACTCAAAAAAACCTGATTTACGTGAATGGCCAAGTCGTGATTTTGATCTACTTGTACCAAAGTAAACAATATGGTTGTGTACTTATCCTTTATAATTACACACATGCATGCACACTTTCTTCTTGCTGCCCAATAAATTAATAATGCATTCGAGCTACAACTTTAAAAATATCAAATAATTACAGTATGCTGAGTTCTGCAAGTGCCACCAATGCCTGAACGAAAAGGTGACATACAAACACGATGCCTGATGGCAAGTGTAGCATACTACGACCAAGGCCATTCAGCATCATTCCATACACACCACCTGCTATCGTTCTCATCAAGCCCATCTCCACCTTTGGAATCACGACAGATTATTTTCTCCTCTCGGATATTTTTACCGCATCGTAGTTGCCAGTCCCGGATCAAGGCCTCTTCTCTATACTTCACATTATGATACTTTGGGTGCTGCATGAAGGGAACATTTTTCCACCATAGCTTGAGGGCCTGTAAGATCACATAATAGACATATCCAGTCACTTAAGAAGTGATTTGAATATCATGTAAAGCATTCTCGATTCTGATAAGTTCCATTTTTGTTTCCAATTTACAAAGGTAGTGGTCTATTACCAGGGGATATGTCAATAAATTGAGCTTTTATAGTTTACTGAACCGGTTCCATTCTATACATGTCAGTTTCAATCAACGTTTGCCTGGTGAACTAGGTTAACCGAAAAGAAATTCTTCCAACTATTCCAGTACTTGCAACAAATCCTGCTGAATGTGATTGTTATCTAATACAGTGGAGTGTTTCGTATGGTAACGAAATGCTTCTTTTGGATAATTCTCTTCAAACTTTTTTTCTTCTCAACACATCTAGAATAATTCACCAAAATTAAAATTTAAATAGAATATGATGGGGCACATTCCTCCAAAAGTTGTCCTAAGACAAGTAAAGATTGTCAATGCTGGTAATGCACTTCAAGTGGGCAACGGCAATGCTCGTATTCATGGTCCTGATGAAGTTATGATAGGGCCCATGCCTCCAAAAGTTGTCCCAACTAGGTGATGCAATTCACCAATTCAAACTTACAATCATTATATCCCCTCGCTCTTTCTAACCTAAACATCTCCGGAAGCCTAAGCCCAAATAAATCCTAAACCCAGTGCACTCCTGAATTCATGCCCAACCCCATCAATTTCCCCTAACGATATGCAAGCAAAAGTGCTACCATTTTCCCCACTCCCATCCTCCTTACATCAGCCATTTCTTTTCCAAGTTACAATCATCCAGAGACTCTCAGTTTCCTTGCCATATCTCCAGTGCAATTTCCTCAAAAGAACTTGATTACCTCCTTACAACCAAGGGGATGCGAGATTTTACTACTGAGATTTTACCACTCCCACATACCAAAAGGAATAAACTTCAATCCAGTTTTATTATTTCAAACTTTTTCAAATAGATTTATAAAGAGAAAATTCATTTACAGAGTATAGTTCTTAGAAAAAGTTAATGACTTATTAACTTTCTAAAAAAATCACAATTTTATTACTTTTTCGTTCACATAAAGCATGTCACATTAGCTTGGAAAAGCACAATTTCCCAAGAGGAAATCCTAGGCACTAATAAGCAACAAGAAAATAGAAATGAACCACAATAGTACCAATTAGTGATGAGCACAATCTTTTTCTTTTTCCATCTAAAAATTCTCAGTATTGGCACCACCATATGGTGGTCACTACATGATCCAATCTCGCAATTCCAACAGGATCATGATACTGGTAGGCCTTGTATGTAGATAAAAAACACACTTAGGGTACATTTGGTTCGCGCGTAAATATTTCCTGGGAAATACTTACATATGTGAATCGCGTTTCATACGTTTGGTTCGTACAAATGCATATGCAAATATAATACCATGGTAAAAGCTTTTACCATGAAATAGTCCGATTCATGGTAAAATAAAACCATACCTATTGAGGTGGGGAAACATTTCCCATGCATATGTTTTCACACGCATAATCACTATTCACTATTCAATATTCACTATTTACGATATAATATATTATTACAACATTTTATTTATATAAAAATTATATATTAAATTATATTTCAATAATATTTAATATATACTATACAAATAACATTTTATATAAATAATATATTATTTTACATTATACTATATTATTATATATTTATATTTATTTTTACTAAAGTAATTAAATTATATATAATACATAATAAATAAATAGATATATATATATATATTTATTATGTATAATATATATAATATCAATATATATTTATATTATATATTATATGAAAATAAATATTATATTATATTATTATATTATATATATAATATACATATCTTTTCAAAGTTTTGCGTAAATATTTCACACCAACCAAGCGCTACCAAACATATGAAGCTGATTACACACTTCTTTTTAAATGTACTACCAAACATGGTAAAAAGAATGCATATGCAAACTGTTTACATATGTAAATAGTTTACCTGTGTAAATGTTTATGCATGAACCAAATGTACCCTTAGTATATGAACACATGAGACATGCACAGAAAAATCAAAGATTTGAGCCAAAACGATTGATCAACTTCACAAACCTGCCAGTAAATCCAAAAGGCCACTTTCTGTGGCATTAACCAGAAAAAGAGTTCCGGAATCTGGGTCTCCAGGGACTTGGACAATCTTTTGGCTTGCAAAGTAGCTGTAAAATAATTACCAAGACTAGGATGATCAACTGAAATCTTTAAAAAGAGATTCTCCCCAGGAGCATGAGCTTGCATGTTCCAAGTCCCGAGCATGTCCTGCAATTATTTTCAGTATATCAAGTTATACGCCAAAGACAGGCAACAAACAATACCATGCACATCCTAGAAAAAGGCAGAGCATGTAACAACGCAAAGTGGTGTGTGTTTGTGTATGAGAACTGTTTGTGTGTATAGGAACTTAATAATGACAAAGCTCACAACATTTCTGATTCTTTTAAGCAAAACATCCTGAGTTTCAAAGGGTTCTGATGGAACATGCCATGTCAGCACTTCTCGACCAGGTGTTCCTTCCCCTCTTTGGGGAAGATAAGCTTATCTGGGCCCCCTCCCCCTCTGGAACCTTTACTGTGGCCTCCCTTTACCGCAAGATCACCTCATCCCCTACCCTCCCTTCCAATCCCCCTCCCATTGCTGCGAAGGCCTGGTTCACCTTCACCCCACCCCAATTTCAGATATTCAGTTGGATTGTACCATCTCAAAGAAATCTGACCATCAATCACATCCAAAGAAGAGGTCATTCCCTACCCAATACATTTGTCATGTGCACCATAGCAGAAGAGACCAACGACCATCTTTTCCTCTGTGATTTTTCCACCGCCTTTTGGGGCAAAAAACGGCAACTCTTTTAACTGGACATGGGTCATCCCTAAGTCCATACCCCATCTTTACGGTACCTCTCTCTCACCCCAATGGTCCAAATCTGACCTCATCCTCTGGAAAGCCTCCATAGCAGCCACGATTTGGACCATTTGCAAGAGACAGAGCAGAATTTTCAGGGGAGAGAGCTCCACGGCCGAATGCAGTTTTGACGGGGTCCTAGACCTTGCCAGCTTCTGGGCCATGCACCACAAGACATTCAGGCACTTCCCATATTCAGATTTCTTTCAGGATTGGTAGGCACTCCTGAACCTGCAACCCAGTAGAATTCACGTGCCTCCCTGTAGAGACCACCTGAAGTGGGCAAGATTAAACTCAATTTTGATGGTTGCTCCCTCAGCAACCCTGGCCCTTCTGGAATCGGAGGCATATTCTTTTTTGGGTAATTCAATTGGGATGATGAGCCCCTACCCGCTTTTTAAATCATTAGTGGTTTTTGAATGCGTTGGGTGAGAACTCCAAGGTAGAGAGGGTGCTCTGAACAATACTACAGTGGGTTTGCAGGGCACCTTTTTGAGCTATCGAGTCCCCTAACAGATCTAGCGCCCCCAACCAACTCAATTCGTTAGATATTTTTTGGGTTACTAGAGGGTTTCTTGGGTAGCCTATTTTTTGTATACCTTCATTACTTTATACATAACAGTTAACAGATTCAAAAAAAAAAAAAAAACTATCTACACACAAACAAATGTGGAACTCTATAAAGATTCGTCTTAGTGCAAAGTATGTCTGAACCAATTGATGTGTACCTCTAAAGGATTGCTACAGAACTATCATCAAATATCTGTAGCATGTACCAGTCTCATATGTTACTTGAGCCATTCTCTGTGGCACCAAAAAGGAATGCAGAATTGTTTAGGCGTGACTGCCACATAGGCACCCCCCCTAGTGCTGCAGTGATAACTTGAGAGTTATGCATGGACATTTTTATGGTAGTTAGGACATCCCTATGCTAAGTAGCTAGAGATCATGGAGTGATGACCCATACACTGAAACTTCCAAACTATAAGGTTAACTAGAAGGTTATGCAATGCATTCTAGATTTCTGGTTCAGGAATTACAAACTCCCTATCATAGAGGAGAATATCTGAAATTCCAACCTGGGCCTTTATTTTAATGTGAACCTAACCAGAAAATATCCTTACCAATGTTCTGTAACAGTGGAAAATTTTGATGGAATGGAGGGATGGAGGGAGGGAAGGCAGGATTTTGACAGAAACTTTTGGTGGAATGGAGAGAGAGAGAGAGAGAGAGAGAGAGAGAGAAGAGAGAAGTAAGT